AGAATTAAAACGAATACGATCTCCGTCCACACCAGCGTTTTTATCTGCGTATTAGAAATGATCTCCGTCCACATTAAAACAACTGAAAACGCGAATCACGTGACCATTCACCAACACTGGGCATGCACGTGCCGGTGTAAACAGTGGTTGGCGAATCAGGGAAGGATACGTCATGACTGATAACACCCAATCATGGAGCCAATCGTCAGCCCCTGCGTCAGCATTTCTGAAGTCCTACACTGTAAAAAAAAAAAATATTTTCAAGATTTGTTATCACAACATATTTTCTTTTGTCAAATCAACTTAAATAATTTATTTAGTTGAAATAACTTATTATTTTGAGTTTCTGATGATTAAATTAATCTCCTTCATTGTATTAACTCACTTTTTCCAGTTCAATCAACTTAAAATTTTAAGGCAACCAGGTTACTTACTTTTTTAAGTTAAACCTGCAATATTTTTTTACAGTGTAGGTTTTGTCTTGTCCACACTAAAACGCCCTCCGGAGATTCAAAACGAAAAACGGAGCTGCAGCGTTTCGAAACTTCTCCGTTTTAGGTCTTCGTTTTTCCCGTTTTAGTCTGGACGGGAGGTGCAAACGTAGCAAAAGGTCTCTGTTTTTAAACAAAAACGCAGTAGTGTGGACGGGGCCTAAATGTTGTGGGAATGGTGGGCTACCAGTGTGAAGAGAGGTGTTAAAGATGTAAGTGAGAGCAGATACAAATGAAGAAGAAATGGATTGAAGGAGATGAGTGAGGGTGGAATCAAGCAGACAAGATAGGGTGATTGTAAAGGGTGAGTTTGGAGACTTCTGTCTCCGAAAAGGAGAGGAGAATGTGTGTGTTGTGCTGAATACAGTGTAATCATCAGACTTTAGCCATGAATATGTCTCAAGTAACAGAAAAAAGCACAAATGTCAGAGCATGTCAGAACACCTCCAGGACCCAGAAAACACCGCAGACCCCAGAGGGTTGAGATGTGTGTGCCAGTTTGTTGTGTGGAAAATGACCGCTGATGGTTTCTGTTTTATTTATGAAGAACGAACACATTATTATACTGTACGTGCATTAAAAGCCTGATGTATCACATATGTGCAAGATAAATCAAGCGTAGCGCTAGTTCTGGCAGGTCATCTAAGTCAAGCTCTCATCAGCTGACTCTTAGTTGATCCACGTCTACCTAGGAATGTGGAGCTCTTATCCATACCTAAGCTGCATGGATGGGCAGGGAGTTCTTGCCCAGAGCAGAACCATACAGCCAATCCAAACTGTATGCTAACTGTCCACCGCAGTCTCATCCCAAAACATCATACAACTGACGCTTTTGACCATACGTCAACATCCGCCCTTTTAGGGTACCCTTTAACGTCAGTAACCCTACCCCAGACCTAAACCTACCCCGTCACCTAACTGACGTTAAAGGTAAAGCGTCAGTTGGATGACGCCCCAGGATCGTCATCTAACTGACGTTTAAGGGTACCCTAAAACGGCGGATGTTGACGTATGGTCAAAAGCATCAGGATGAGACTGTGTTAAATTGTCAATCATCTTTGACGATAGTGGTCCTAACAGAAATGTTGAATTTAAGGAGATGCATGATGCAGAGAAATCACAGGCAATACTTTTAATATACAAGGATATTAACAAGAACTGACAAAAGACTGAAAAGGACAGGGAGTACACTCTCAGAAAAAAAGGTACAAAAGCTGTCACTGGGGCTGTACCTTTTCAAAAGGTACACTTTTGTACCTTAAGGGTGCATATTGGTACCTTAATGGTATATTAGCACCTAAAATTAACATATCAACACTTAAAATGTACATATTAGCACCTAAAATGAACATATCAACACTTAAAATGTACATATTAGTACCTGAAATGTACATATTAGCACCTAAAATTTACATATTAGCACAAAAAATGTACATATTAGTACCTAAAATTGACAAAAGTGTACCTTTTGAAAAGGTACAGCCCCAGTGACAGCTTTCGTACCTTTTTTTCTGAGAGTGGGGTTAACAAGAGAACTTAATGATAGACAGATTAACATAATCATTAACTAAGGAAACAGTATAATAGGACATGCTAAAGATTAAAATGAAAGGGTAAACATGAAAACAAGACATAGGAATAAAAACACAACAAAGACATAATTCCTGATAGTATGATACTCAACAAAAACACATTATACAAAACTTTCTTAAAATAATAATAAGAAAAATCATCTTCAATAATCTGTTCTATTTGAATAAAATAGATTTTCCTGACTATTTTTAAATGTCAGGTTAAATTATACTAAATCATAATAAATTACCTATAGCCAAAAATGTGGAATCGTTTGTACAGTTTTTTAAAACACATTTCAACACCAAAATATGTGTAGATGGTGGGCTAAGAGTTAACGCACCATTGCTCTAACACTGAATCACGTGTCTATCTCAACAGCCAGAGGCTGTGTTTCCTTTATTCTCAGAGGAACAAAAGACAACAGCTTGACAGCTTGAGTCTGTCTCTCACATAAAGCTTTTGCATCCCTGACCTGAACCCTAATGCATCTACACAGTACAAAATACATGGCATGCTGTTGATGTCAATGTGCATAATTTTTTTATGTGATTTATATTCTTGAGTCCATGTCAGCCTCTGGTTTTAAGAAATAGTTCATTCTACTTTCAAACTTTTGAGTAAGGAAACAAATAGTGCCAAATATAAATATAAATTCACTTCACTCTAAAAAATGCTGGGTTGTTTTAACCCAATTTTGGGTAAAATGTGGACAAACCCAGCCATTGGGTAAAAAATGTAATTTAAAAATGTAACCCAAATGGCTGGGTTTGTCCATATTTTACCCAAAATTGGGTTAAAACAACCCAGCATTTTTTAGAGTGTTGGTGCTGATGTAAACACAGTATAAAGCAAGGGTGTAACATGTTCAATGAAATTGTTATGTGTCACCTATGAAGTAACCAGACTCCCTTATAACCTGCAAGCTATCAATAGGCTTGTTTGAGATGCCAGACACGTTGGGTTGAGTCAACGTTGAATACAGTTGAGGAGAAGTTTAGGTAGAAGCGTTCCAACTGATATCTGTGGACCGGCAGTCTACAGTAACATAAGCAAATGCAAATAGTGTGTTCTTTATTGTTGATGTATGTAATATTGCTGCTCGGAATGAAACGGCTCCTCGAGCAAGAATAAAAACTTGATTTCTTCTTGATCAAAAATTGGTGGATCGTATTTGCTATTGCAAAAATTTGCTTTTGTGATCTCATGTGACAGGTTGTATTTTGATTCAAGATTACAAAGGCAAATTAATGATTTTTTTATGGTGTGCATGGATAATTCCTTTATAAAAAATACTGCAAGATTCCATAATAAACAAGAATCGTCAATTTTGATTTCATGCTGACTTTAAGTGTCTTTAACTACTATTTACTGACATTTAAATTAATTATATGAAGAGTTCAGATGCAAAAGCCTCTAAATGCCATTTGAAATTTTCTTATTTAATGATGATTTTTATCAAACTTGTATATTTAAGTTCAGTAATTTCACTTAAATAACAAATAATAAGTAATTATCATTGCCATTTAAGTGAAATCACTGAACTATACAAGCTTGATAAAAAGGCTTTTGCATCTGAACTCTTCATATGGTACAATACGCTTGTGTAAACAAATTTTTACATTGTGTATTATTTAAAAAAAATGTGCATGTGATAACAATTGTCAATTTTTTGTAATTACATGTTATTACATATTGACCTGACTCCTCCCCTTAACCCACCCATAACCCTAACTATACCACCAAACCTGTTCCTAACCATATCCCACCTCAATAGCAGCAAAGGTGTTTTGCAACACAACATGAACACGAACAATAAGTACACTGTTAGGCTATACCTAACATTGTTGTATGTGCATAGTAATTAAAGACACCTAAAATAAAGGATGACAAGATCGCATTGGTCGTATGTATTTTGTCAGTGATAAGAGATAATGACTTACTATATTAATAGCCAAGTAATTTTCCATTAGCCAAATGAACCTTTCAGAGAGAGAGAGAGAGAGAGAGAGAGAGAGAGAGAGAGAGAGAGAGAGAGAGAGAGAGAGAGCACAGTTCAGAGTGAACTTCAGTAGTAAGTGATGTGACTGCTAATGCAGGATTACTTTGTTATGTGGATAAGAAAGAGAGTGATGAATGGAAGCTTCTTACAGCATTTAATAATGCTGTGAATAAATGGCTGAGAAAAAAAATCAAATTAAAGTAACTTAAAGATGAAACATGCTTGATTATGACAAGGACCCTTTGATGCCTTTGTTTTGTTCACAATTCCTTTTTTCTATAATAAACACAAACAAGGGTGTATTCGGCTAAACAGATATCAAATAAATACTTTGTAAAGCTCAGACATTTTTAAAGTCTTAATAGCCTTATTCAGAGATTATAGTGAGTCTTACCTCAGTCAACAAAATCATAAAGAGTTTCTGATTATAATAAACACCTTTTCACTTAAATTCTATGCTTGGAGCGCCCTCTTTTGGCAAAGCATCAAAACACATTACACAGCTGCAGAATCTTCGGCTTCAAAATTGAGTGAGGGGAGGGCCCTGACAGTTTAAAGCCCATGTTGTTCCTGATGCGTCCAGTAGGGAGAGACTGTACATCGACATGAATTGAGTTATGTTAAATAATCTTTTATTTAATTAATTATTATTATTATTATTATCTTTTATTATTATTAATTAATTTTGTTGAAAGGATACAAGACATTTTACATGTTGTCATATAAAAAAAATGAAAGATTCTTTACAACAGACTCAATGATAGCCTATTATTTATTTCATTTTTCATATTTATTCATTCAGAACGAATCATTCAGACCAGTTTAGTGAAATGTCCAAATGAAGAGTTCATTAAAAAGATCCGACTCAACGTTCATGAAGATAAACAGGTCGGAGATAAACATCCGGTGCGCATGCGCAGACAGTCAGTGGGTCATTGTGCGCGCGGTATTGCATGCATGCATGTGTCTCGTGGATTTTAGACTGAACGGTTCTCAGTAACATATTTGGTACGTGTTGTCATCCCGTTCTGATGGGTTAAAGTCTTTTAATAATATTTTTAGTCTCATAGATTATTAGACTCAACACGAAAGGATTTAATTTGACCGCAGGAAAAGCAACAGGCAAGTTTTACTCGAATCAGCTCCATGCATACTTGAACACATTAGTAGAATTATTATCAAACAATATCAAGAGAGTACGAGCTATTGTTACCCATTAACAAGCCGACTTGGTCGTCATAAGATGTGTATTAGAGCTGACATTGCGCTTTTTAGACATTTGATTTGTGAATACCGGTAAATGCAATTTATTTAACAGTTCGTGCACTTTCGTAATTACCCAAGAAAGTACTTGGCAATGTAAGGTATGCAGGTGTTAAGGTTAGGTTTAGGGGTAGATTCAGTGTAGTACCAAGTTATTGTAAGTACTAAGTATGTACATGGGGAACAAGACTGTGAAATAAAGTGCTATCACTTTGTGCTATCCGTGTTATTGCACGTTTACAGTTAAGTTTAACGTTACTTTCATTAGAGCAGAGAACTCATGTCTGGAAACTCCTTTGAATGACACATGACTGTAACTGTTCATGCTGTCTTGTTGAGATTTAAGTTTGGTCTATTATTTAATATTTATTGTTTAATTATTAAAGATCAAAGAACAAGAAAATCACACAGACTGATCTTTATGAAATTTAAATCTTTTAGCTATATACATTTTATTATAAAAATCAAACTAACAATTTGATTTCCTTTGTGCTTCTTTACAGAATCACAATGTGTGTTCCTGTTAGGTAACATGTCTGGAACCTGGAAGTTGAGCAAAGGTGAAGCTTGCACACAAATAATATCAGCATGTCTGTTTAACACATTGCTGTATCATTATGAAAGTGTCCTCTCAGCTCCCAGTAATAATTAACACGGTGCATGTTTTAGGATTTACTGGCTAGTGCAGTCGCTTTGTTGTTACCAGTCTGAGCTCTGTTAAACTGCTAAGCCTTCAGCTATTAACTTGGACATTAACATTCCTTCTGCATTCTTACATCATTAAATGATTCAGATTTACAGCATCAGTTGTATTGCTGTAACATGGTGGAAGTTATTATATGCAATGAAAGGACAGAGGATAGTAAGGAGGAAATGAGGACTGATGGCAATGGACACACTGCAGAAAATGTGGCTCCTGAGTCAGTCATCTTTGAAACCAAGGAAGACCTGGAAGTCCAAACGCAGAAGACCAGTTCCTGGATATGGTCCGTTGTTTACCTTTGTTTCTATGGCTTCATGGTGCAGCTGAAGCCTGGAGAGCCGTTTATCACACCATACCTGCTCAGTACAGAGAAGAACTTCACCAGAAATCAGGTGTGGTGCTATTCTACTTTTATTCTAATCTTATATTCTAAGTTTATTCTAAGTTTGTGAAAAAAAAAACACTTGAAAAATATGGTATTGTTTGAGTGACTTTATTCAATCTGATTAAACATACTGTTTGTTTTCTATTTTGTAAACACTGATACTTGAGACTGTTTACAGTATGTATTCATTTTGTTGCCAATACTTAGTCGATAGACACACAGTTATGATTGTGTAACTTGGTCTTAAAACTCTGACTCAGCTGCTGGGTTCTGGCAAACCATGTGAATGTGGTCAGAGTTCAAATTCCTCAAAGGGGGTTTTCTTTGAGGAAGGATCTAGATCATTCATGCTCACTCATTAGAGTTATTAATCAACCACATAATGTCTTTTTTGTAAACACTTCTAAACCCTGAATTACAAAATTAATTCGCCTGACTGTAACTGTGCTGAAGCTCTAACTGAATGTTTTGGTAAACAAAATACTGCGTAATTAAGACGAATTTACAGTGTTACTTTTGGTAATTATAGTGTACCTATCAAGTATACATGTAAGTATGAGGGAACAATATGTAAAGTTTGGGTAATAAAGGGGTAACAACTAGGAGAATTAAAATAAAATAAAAAATATTTATGCTGTAAGTATTATTAAACGAATTCTACTAATATGATATAAAAATCTTACATTTGAAAGCAATTTAGCCAATACATATTGTATAGGCTTTTTTAAATCACAGAGTACATATCTATATATTTAAACGGCTGTGGTGCTTTTTACCCTCTTGTTTTATGTAGTAAGTGTGACATTGCGGACCGTAATTTAAAGTGGTGCTTGTTACCTTCTTGTTCCATGTAGTTACAAAGGGAAGTACAATAAAAATACATATGCAATAAAATGCACACAATCTAATATCACTGACTCAGAGACTTTTATTTGAAAAACAAAGTATTACAGTTAGTCTGAGGAGATAGTCTACAGTTTAAAAAAAATTGTAATTTTTCTTACAAACACTTATCGTTTCCCTTCAGAAGACATTGATCCATCCATTGGGGTCGTATGGATTTTGGATTACTACAGTTATTGCAGTATGTGCTGTTTGATGCTCCACCTTTTAGGAACACATGAGCTTGGTTTATAAGTGTTCTGAATTAAGTTGTTTTTCAAATAAAGGTTTCCGAGTCTATGATATAAGATTGTGTTTATTTTTTATTGTACTTACCATGTAACTACATGGAACAAGAGGGTAACAAGCACGACTAATGAAACAAGAGTATCTTTCCCCAACATTTAAGCAAAAGATGCAATAGTTTTAGTTTTCAGTGCACTTTTGTTAAAAAGATTAGCCTACTGTATAAATGCATAGATGCATGTGTACCCTGTAATTTTTAAATAGCCTATACAGTATATATTGGTCAGTGGTGGAATGTAACGAAGTACAAATACTTTGTTACTTTACTTAAGTACATTTTTTACGTATCTTTACTTTACTTAACCCTCCTGTTACCCTCAAATCTGATAACACTTTTTACCCTCTGGGGGCAATTTGACCCCAGTAATTTAAACCTCCACAATATGATTATTTTTTTTTGTCTCAGTTAATTTATGTCTTTGTTGACTACTTAAGTAACGTTTTAAGTTGAAGTTTTAAGTTGACAAAATTTGTACAGGACTTTGAAAAAATATTAGCAGATTAATTTTATGTTTACAGAGTTGTCCCCATTAAATTAGGAAAAGTCATTAAATCTGAAGCAAAAAAATTACAGACGTTAAACATTGAATGGGGTCAAATTGACCCCAAGGATAATAGGAGGGTTAAGTAGAATAAATAGTGAATACTTTTTACTTTTACTTCGTTACATTTTGCAGCAATTACGTTCTACTCCACTACATTTCTACAACTTCTGTTACTTTTTCATTACATTTTCTGATCAGGTTTTCCCCTGCCAAAATGTAATCTGACCGTCCGTCCATTGCACGTTTGTCTCACCATGACGTTTGGTTGCGCTATATCAATCCGGTCACACTAAATGCGTCTCGCACGCAGTGCGTTTATAATGCAATTTATACGCGAAAATTAGTTTTTACGTGCATAGGAAACGCACCGTGTGTAATATACATTTGGTTAGGATTATGGCAAGCCAAGAGGTTCAGAATTACGCCATAAATTAATCGCGTTTACTGCCATAGTTATAAACATATAGTAAGGATAAGCATGGTTTATATTGCCTAATTCCAAGCTTGTTTCAGAAATGGTGACAACATTTTTTTTTTCCATCATTATTGAACATCATTATAGGAGTATTAGGTTGAATGAGTTAGAATTAAATGTTTTATTAATCATTAGAAAATAGACATTAAGAAAATAAATTATGCAAGTACTTTTACTTTTAATACTTAAAGTACTTTTAAAATCAGGTACTTTTTACTTAAGTATGGTTGTCATTGTGTTACTTCTACTTTTACTAAAGTAAATATTTATCTGGTTATTTGTACTTTTACTTAAGTACTGAGATTCAGTACTTCCTCCACCACTGATATTGGTACACCATTATTACAAAATGGTATGCAATGTATGTTCTTGCTAAATTGCTCCCAAATGTAAGATTGTTATATCATAATAGTAGAATAATTACCCCTTGGTTATATAATACTTACAGTATAAATACTTTTTTAATTCTCCTGGTTGTTACCCCTTTATTTCACAAATGTTACATACTGTTCCCTTTTACTTACATGTAAGTACTTTATAGGTACACTATACTTATGAAGGTTACACTGTCGCTTTAATTATGCAGTACTTTCATGGCTGTAATCTAAAGTGTTACCAATGTTTTTTAGTAAGGTCGGTGCGAATGATTTGACAAGAGCCATAAAATTAGTGAACCACATGCAGAGAATATCTGCAAAGATATTCTAATTTTCCACTGCAAAGTAGACCAAGTGCCATATTTTATCTGTTTATAGCCCAGTGTCTATATGTCATAAAATATATAATTTGAAACTAAAGAGAACTTGGGATAAACAGTAGTGTCTTAATCTATTATATGTTCAAAATGTTTTACTAACTAAAAGGACACCCAAAACCTGTTACATACTTATGTATCTGATTACAAAAAAAGCGATTTTCTTTTCAGTCTGCTTGCTAAGGTAACTTAAGGCATGTCTAAGTATTGCATTAGGCAGAGTAGGGATCATTTAGGGATTTGTTTTTTGTTTATTTGTTCAGAAAATATTTAGCCTGTCACTGTGAAGTTTTGCCACAACTGTATATTAACAGTCATTACCCGTGTCAATTAAATTTAAAACTTAAATGAGTCGAATACAATTAAACTTGAATGTACACAAAGGCTGATTTTACATTTATTCTGTATTATTGTAATAGTGGTATGCAATAAATGTAACCATAATGAAAAAGCTCCATAAATGTGAAATATTTAAATTTTATTCAATACAAAATGTTATTCAATACAAAAAGTTATTCAAGCCCGCACTGAAGAGAGCTCAGTTGCATAGCAGACTTCTTCCTGGCAGTGAAAGTAGCACTACGTTGTGAAACTGTTGATTTGTAGGAAGACTGCTAATGTTAAGGGTACCATTTTTTTTTTTAAAGGGCCATACTATTATCTGTACATTCATAAAGCTACACAGTATGCGAACACACAGCAAGTAAGAAAAAGTCTAATGAGTTAAATACTTATTTGGAAATATTTTAAACCTCAAAGAGACACTTTTTAAAGGTAAAAAAAAGTTTTTAATGTATTTAAAAATCTACGCCTTGTCCACATTTTAAGATGACAATCAAATGTATTCTGGGATGCCGTGTACACTACCCACATTTCAGATGACACATTCTCAGTTTGATCCTGAGTCATTCTAAACCCTGGAAAAATGGAATCCTTGGCTATCTTGTTTCACACTGATATTAATCATGCTAACAATTTATCATGGGTATAATTCATAATCTGATGTTTCATACTGTATACTCCTGGTGGTGGAGGTAAGTAAGTGCATTGTCTATTATGTTATTACTGATGTTACATTTGAGTATTAAAATATCCCTGCTCTCCCTTTACCCCATATAAGATGACTTTCTATGATCTTTTCAGGTTACCAATGAGATCACCCCAGTCCTCACATATTCCTATATGGCCGTGCTGGTGCCTGTGTTTCTGCTGACAGATTACCTACGCTACAAACCTGTGCTGATCCTTCAAAGCTTGAGTCATGTTTCCATTTGGCTTTTGCTGCTTTTGGGCCACTCTTTGTTGGAGATGCAGTTTATGGAGTTCTTTTACGGCATCACCATGGCTGCCCGTGTGGCATACTCCTCCTACATATTCTCGCTAGTACCGGCGTCTGTTTACCAGCGTGTAGCTAGCTACTCCCGCTCAGCTGTGCTCATGGGAGTCTTCACGAGCTCTGTGCTGGGTCAGATGTGTTTGTCCCTAGGGAATGTATCATACACAACGTTAAGCTTGGTCTCTCTGGGGTTTGTCATTTTTGGGCTACTTTTGTCTTTCTGCTTGCCATGGCCCAAACGTAGCATGTTTTTCAACCAAGCCCGCCTAGAGAAGGAGAGGAAGGAAGCAGCTCAATCGGAATTGGACAGAATTAATCCTGAAAAGAAGGATGGCAGTGTGGCAGCACTGGGCAGTAACCACAATTCCCTGTCCTGGGCAAATTCTGTGTTTGTTCAGATGCTGAAGGAGTTAAAGAATGTTGTGAAGGTACCTAGTTTAAGGCTTTGGAGCTTGTGGTGGGTCTTCAACTCCACTGGTTACTATTTAGTTGTGTTTTATGTGCACATCTTGTGGAATAAAGTCTACCCTGCCATAGAAAACAAGCATGTCTACAATGGAGCGGTTGAGGCTGCCTCTACATTATTAGGTAAGACGGATTATATCTTGTTGTAATTGCTATATTTGTTCAATTAAAACAACAACAAATAATCTCAACCACAGAATCAGTTTTTTTGTAAGTAGCATCCACTCTGATTTCTTAAAGGGATAGTTCAACCGAAAATCCTGTCATCATTTACTCACCATCAACTTGTTCCAAACCTCTATGAATTTATTTCTTCTGATGAACACAAAAGAAGATTGTAAAGAATGTTTGTAACATCTATTGACTTCCATAGGATTGAAAAAAACAATACTATGAAAGTCAATGGGGTCAATAATGTTTTGGTTTATAATTCAACACAATTTTTATTTTTGGGTGAACTATCCCTTTAAAGGATTAGTTCACTTTTGAAAAAACTTTTGCTGATAATTTACTCACCCCCATGTCATCCAAGATGTCCATGTCTTTCTTTCCTCACTCGAAAAGAAATTAAGGTTTTTGATGAAAACATTACAGCATTTTTCTCCATATAATGGACTTACATGGGAACCAGACGGTCCAAGGTTCAAAAGACAGTTAATAACAGTTTCAGATGCAGCTTCAAATGTCTTTAAACGACACCAAACGATGAATAAGGGTCTTATCATGCGAAACGATCAGTTATTTCAAAACTTATTCCAAAAATGTAACTTTTCTAAGGACAAATGCTAGCCTTGCTCTATTCTGTGAGGCGCATTTGTAACATCACGTAATACGTAATTACGCTCAAAAGGTCACGGGCGACGTAGCCGGAAGTACAGAATCAAAATCGTCCGACATCGTTGTTTTACCTTTTAATTTCTTTTTTTGTAAACGGCGTTTAAGTTAGTTTGCACGTTCAACCTATGTGTTCAACTTGTAAACACTGTCTCTGTACTTCCGGCTACGTCGCCCGTGACCGTAATTACGTATTACGTGACGTCACAAACGCGCCTCACAGAATAGAGCAAGGCTAGCATTTGTCCTTAGAAAAGTTACATTTTTGGAATAAGTTTTGAAATAACCGATCGTTTCGCATGATTGATAAGACCCTTATTCATCGTCTGGTGTCGTTTAAAGACATTTGAAGCTGCATCTGAAACTGTTATTAATTGTCTTTTGGACCTTGGACCGTCTGGTTCCCATGTAAGTCCATTATATGGAGAAAAATCCTGAAATGTTTTCATCAAAAACCTTAATTTCTTTTCGACTGAGGAAAGAAGGACATGGACATCTTGGATGACATGGGGGTGAGTAAATTATCAGCAAAAGTTTTTTCAAAAGTGAACTAATCCTTTAAGCAAATGAATACATATTTTGTTGGTGAGGGTACCTACCAACTATTGATTTATTTCAGTGTGGAAATAAATGTGCTTTATACATTTAATTAGTTATACACGTGTAACACTTCTTACTTAAAACAGTGTTTAAAATTAAAGATGCATAATATATCAGTTGTCAGCCTCCAACACACCTTTTGATTTATTTTGTCATCATCTTAAATACAATTATTGGGATAGCAATGGCAAGTTATGATGAAGATAAAAAAAAAAAAAAAATCGGCATAAAATAAAAATTCACCCTATATATTGTTTTATGAATTTTATTGATATTATTGTTAACAATTCACCCATGCATGCATTTTGATCTGATAATTTTAAATTAAAATGTCATATGATGTTATAGTACTGTACTTCTCCAATCATTTAATCTGTTTAAACCCCAGCCCTTTCTTGCATTTGATTGCAAGTTTGCATTTAGATCTGCCTAAATCCAATTAACCGATGTATAGAATCCCCAAGTCCCCATACATGTTTTTCTTTTTTGGTAATTTGGTGAAACTGGAATACACATCACAATATGGAATCCAAGATCTGTTGCTGCTTCTGTTTCTTCTCCACTTTAGCACTTATGCGTTTTGTTTTAAGAGGGCAAGTCATTGTGAGTTGCTGTGTGAGTGTAATGATAATAGCTCTGCATTTATGTGTCGTAGTACAACATGAGTTACGTTTATTTCTTAAAAGTGCATCAAACTATGTATTTTCAATTGCATCGGGCGATTCAGCTACCAGACAGCAATTGGCATTTCATTTAAAACTATCTATTACTCCTGTCAAGAGATAGAACAAACACTGTCAAGAGAGAACAAAACCTAATCATTATCCTTTTTATTTAAACATTTTTTTTTAAGTTTAAACATTGTCTAAGTAACATGTTCAATTACTTAGTTTATTATTTACACATGACTTCTATAACACATGCAGTGACTAGATCATGTTTGGTCTTGTGTTTTTTTAAAAATCTGGTTTCTCTCAAAGATCTCTTCCCTTTATTACACACAATAGGCATGGTGTTTTTGTCCTTGCCATAGTCACCTTAAGTGACTGCTGTTATTGAATATAAAGGCATATTTTTATTTAAAGCTTCTTTTAAGCAGTAGCTGGTAGGTGAATCTGAATCGGGCGATAATTAAACCACTTTAGCTGACAAACTATAGAGTTTCAGACTTGTTTGTTGTAATTCTCTCTCTTTTTTTTAAAACAAAATACTATGGATTTATAATAGCAGCCATTTATTGGTTGGCGACCAATAAATTGGCCAATGATTATCTGCTTGCTTATACTAGCAATAATGGGTCATCAGAGTTTACAACGCAAGTCATTGTTACCTAAAGTTTTTTTTTTTTTCACTAGGACTTTGACGTTTGATATATTCCTCATGAATCAAAATCCTAATTGAGATTTACATGATACATGATGGTTTACTATTTGGCAAGAACAAGCAAAGTTCATGTTCCTCGACCTTTGAGCTTGGGCATGACACATGCTTGGCAAAAACAACAACAAAAACATGTAAACCAGGATTCCTTGTACCTAGCCACTTCCCTGCTGATATTTTAGTTGATTTAGGTGCATTGAATCAGAGTTGGAGCTAGCCTATACTCTGCAGGAAAGCATCTCTTTATGACAAGGAATGAAGAACCCATGGTGTAAAAGACACAAGAAGAAAAGTATTTGCACACCGTTTTTCAGATATTCATGCTCAAATTTAGACTTGGTGAGAATAGACGTTTGTTAATCAGCATGATAATTACATGACAATCACACTTCATGTGCTCCATAGGTGCAATCGCGTCATTTGCAGCAGGCTATGTGAAAATTCGATGGAATCTGTGGTCTGAACTGGTGATTGGATTGATTACTGCGGCACAGGCCGGTCTACTGCTTCTCATGGGCCTCACAGGAAATATCTGGGTTTGCTATGTGTCATATGCACTTTTCAGAGGCTTCTACCAGTTCCTTGTGCCTATTGCCATGTGAGTGATATAAAGCTCTTTGTTTAATTTTATTATTAAATGTATGTAAAAGATTTTTTTTTATAAACCCATTTTAAACAATGATGGCGCATGTTGCATAAAATCTTGAAGTGACCGAGGAGATTAGTTGTATGCACCTGTAAAAACATTTATTTCACAGAGAGCAAGAATTTGAAGTTTGTTGTAGTTTGAACTTTGAAACATGTGGCGCTTTTGATGAAGCTAAAAGAAAAACACTACGGAAATTAAACCATTTAAAGAAAATAAACTTTTTTTTTTCATTTATTATTATTATTATTTTTACAATTATCCAGATGTCTGTTCTCTGCATTTCGGCCATAAATAATTCATTTTCTTTTTTTTTCCCTTTCAGTTTCCAGATTGCTTCCTCTCTCACAAAAGAATTGTGTGCTTTAGTGTTTGGAGTAAACACCTTTCTTGGAACAATTCTGAAGACGGTCATCACTATAATTGTGGTTGATAAGAGTGGATTAGGTTTGGATGTTCATTCTCAGGTGTGTACAATTCTAAGTCGACTTCTGTTAATAGTTACAAACCGATAAACAGCATCAATACTACATACTTGGGTCACTTTTTCAAAACTCTTCATACAGTTCCCTTTACTAACTTGGCACATCAGTTGATTTCACAGTCAAAATGCTCTAAAACTACCAAAAACACTTCATACATATCTCAAATCAACTAATGCTTCCACAACACTGGCAATGGTTGTCACCCAACATACACACTTTGTCATGGACCATAAACAATGGCCTTTAAAACCTGTAGCATTACACGATTTCTTTTGTAAAATATTTTCACAAAACAATAACGAAACCCCCCTATGGTTCAAAATACACTGCAGTATATGTTACATGGTCATTGTTTACATTACAGTTCAAAATTAGTATTAAGTTTCCCCTCTTTTCTATTGTAACGGTCACCAGCTGGAGTGCCCTTGATACCCACCAGAAGGCACTCCAGATTAGTCTTGTATCACTCTCAGACTACATTTCCCATAACTCACTGCTCGGACTCATCTTCACTGATCACACTCACCTGTACCTCGTTCACTGATAGCATTCACCTGTGTATCATCCTGTTTGTCTGTCACGTTGCAGGTTGGAACATCGAAGGAAGCAGGATCCAAATGCAGCAGCAGAAGTAGTAGCACTTTTATTAAATAAACCAAAGACTAGACATGCTCAAAAACTCAGACACAGAGCACAAGATCAACATCTAACAACATCAAGAACCCACCACCACTGTAACAGGACACATGGTTTAAATACAGAGACTAACAAGCTAAATGAGATAACAAGGGGCGTGGCATACATGAACACAAATGAGGAGCGGGAAAAAGGGAACAGGACTGAACCAAGTGCACAAAGATAGGGGGAACACAGATAGACATCATTACATCTATAGAGGGTAATGAAATTGAAAGACAAACACCTGTGAAGGGACACAGTTATTTTAAACTTAATATGTTTAAAGGGTTAATTAACCCAAAAATGAACATTCTGTCGATATTTAGTCTCCTGCATGTCGTTCCAAAACCGTAAGTCTTTCATTCATCGTTGGGTTGAGAGCTTTCTGTCCCTCCATTTAACTACCTCTTTGACTCTGAGTTTTGAAAAAGTGATCCAAGTATTGAGAAATGAGTCCTAGCGTTTAAAAAAAGAATGAAGAAGAAATTACAGTAACATAATGCAGAATGATTTTGGCCTGATTCTGTTTTCTCTCTTTCTCTTGCAGTTTTTTGTTTATTTCTTTTACTTCACTCTGTTGACTGTGATTTATCTGGGATGTAGTGCCTTTATCGTCACGTGTCATTACCGCAATCAAAGATCAGGACAGGAAGCTACGGAAGTAGCCATAGCCACTGAACTTAGTCCCATGGCATCAGCTGCCGGCGACGGTACAACCGCACATAATGGAACCAGCATCAAGACATGAGATTCAAAGGAATTGTGCCGACAGGTAGAGTTTCTTCATCTTTTTAACTGTTACTTCAAAATCTGAACATTTTTTTTATTATTATTTTTTAGTATGAACAGTCCTGGTTTCATCATTTTATAAACATAACATTTATAGTCCAATTGTTAGGAATAGCACTAGATTTTTTTTTTTTAATCAAAATCTATTTGTACATTTTCAGATCGAGATATGGTCAGATCTGGATGTCTTTTGTTGTTTGTCATGTTATAAAGTTATCTTTGTCAGGGTTATTAATAAAATAATTTTATAAGGAATGTTTGGAAGCCAAACATGGCAAGGATTACTCTGTAATTTCAGAGTACAGTGATGCCAGTATTTGCAGCTAAATATTAAAGTATAAATAATTACTATTGCACAACAGTTGTAATTCTGTTGATATTTAGTATATGTCCTTAGAATATTTGATTGGTATCCAGTGGAAAGCTCACAGGGGGTAGAGGTGTGAGATTTTTGCCTCCAGTCTTTTCTTTCACTCCAGGATTGCTCAGAAATGGGTTCTGCTCACCCAGTATGCAGGAGTGGGAAATGGATAACCCGTAGTGTAGAAAACTTGATAACTGAATGTTTCAAACAGGGTGGGAAAATGGCTGTATTCACACTGTTGCTCAATTCTGTGCAATGCTTGATGACATGCATAATTCTATGCTTTAATTCTTTCGGAAATATTTTTATTGACAGGTAAAATTATGCCAAGTAACTGTGTGAACATCTTTATAGAACTTACATGAAAGAAATTTCAGTAACACTTTTTTTTTTAGTTAAATAATGTAGTTAACGAACTAAAAATGTCCAATACGTATACAGCATATATTAATCCTAACTAATGTTAATTTCAACAATTACGGTACTAATACATTATTAAAATCAAAAGCTGTATTTGTGAACATGAGTTAATACACTGTGAACTACCATGAGAAAATAATGAACAGCTGGATTTTCATGAGCTAACATTAAAGGGATACTCCACAGTTTTTTTTTCTTTCATATTAAACTGTGTTATTCCCTTAACTAAGATGAGTTAATACATACCTCTCTAGTCTCTGTGCGTGCAGGTAATTGCTTTGGCGCGCAAGATACTTTGAAAGGACTTCCTTAGCCCAGTTCATTCATTAGGATCCAAGCAGAGAAGACCTCCAAACACCTCCACGTTTTCCCTATTTAAATACAGTTACACGAGTAGTGTAACTCGTCCATAAATGGTGACACAAAATAAAACGTTGCGCTTTTCTAACCGTGTAAAGTGGATAACTATAATGTATGGCGGAATACCACAGCAAATGCTTGGAGCACTTCGACTCATCACAGTAATATCATCACTCGTGAAAAGTTATCTCCCCCCTCCTCCTTCTCCGAAGTCCATAGATATATATGCGGCGGTAAAGTGTTACGGAAATTTCACACAAACGAGATTGTATTGTGCAGGACACTTGCTTAGTTCTACTGTATTTTAAAATAAATACTACTGTTTTTTTATATTATAGTGTGATCACATTATAGGATCTCCAGATTGTGTATAATTACAAATAAATTGTTATCAAATTAAAAGTTTTAAGTATTTTTAAAAAAATTATATTAAAATTTTAAATCCCATTTCGCTTAAAAGAAGCTTTAGATAAAAATATGCCTTAATATTCAATAACAGCAGTCACTTAAGGTGACTATGACAAGGACAAAAACAGCATGTCTACTGTGTGTAATAAAGGGAAGAGATCTTTGAGAGAAACCAGATAAAAAAAAAAAAAAACACAAGACCAAACATGATATAGTTACTGCATGTGTAAATAATAAACTAAGTAATTGAACATGTTACTTAGACAATGTTTAAACTTTGAAAAAAATGTTTAAATAAAAAGGATAATGATTAGGTTTTGTTCTCTCTTGACAGTGTTTGTTCTATCTCTTGACAGGAGTAATATATAGTTTTAAATGAAATGCCAATTGCTGTCTGGTAGCTGAAGCTGACTGATGTCAGAACATGTATCCCAAGGAACAAGGAAAACAGATGACAGACATGATCTTTTTATTTTTTATAGTTGCAGAAGTATCTATCCAAACAATTGGTTGCAATTTTAGCAGTCATGACTGGAATGGTGCATAACTATATCTCTCATAAAGTTTGAGATATAAATTATTAGGTGCATGCCTGGCTAAAGTGAGGGGTCTTGACATAAGTATGTCTGAGCCCCAAACATTGTCCGTGCAGCTATGATAAAATCAGTCTGATACAATCATATTTCTGGATCTGGCATTTTGAACCATCTGATTGAGACCTCTGCAAGCAGCTTGAATCTCTTTGACTGTCTTTATTTACTCTTTATACAACAGCACTGTGATGTTTTACTGTTTATATCACTGTTATAATTGTCTCTGTTTATAAATAGAAACATCATAAAAGCATAAATGGGATCTTTTAGGAACGCTTTTTACCATTACATAATTATGGCACCAAGTGCCTTTTTGTGTTATAAGCTAGTTATTGAATAATTCACGAAAAAACACAGATCCATTCAGCTACAAAACCACACTACTGTGTGTTGCTTGGAGACACAATGGTTGCTCATGCTTTGGCTTGTAAATTAGTAGAGCTAATTAGATAACTGGCAATATTGTTACATATACACTATTGTTCGAACGATAGGGTCGGTATGACCAGTAACCAATAACAATAATGACTTTATTTTTTTTTCAAATAAAAATTACAGAATTTTTAAGAGTGAAACATCCAGTGACAAGTAAAACATGGGTTTTATTTATTTATTAATGTAAGTGCCATTGAAAAGGCAGTAAATAGAAGTAAAAATGGCTTTTGGAGATTTTTATTTTAGTGGTCACATTTGAATACAGCAGGCGGTGCTAGACTGCAATGGGCTAAAACTCCTTAAAATTGTGTTCAAGTTATATGTAATAAAATAAAATAAATATTAATAAAAAACTAACAACTTTACCTATTTTTATGAAGTCATCTTTCTTTAGAGAAAGTCAACTAGTCTTTTTGCATTACAATCATGGTATGATTGATGTGATTGATTTGCAAAGTATAAAAATGTAGAAAGGTTACATATATATGTTTATATAAAATAGTAATGTGAATGAAAATGGTAATGACAACAAAGTAGTTTAAAAATAATTAGCTATTCAAATTTTGGTGTTTTGGCACAACATTGTGAAGGCACTACAAAACCCATTTTAAAACCAGATGTATTTTAAAAGTTGTTTTTGACTTAGTGTGTTCTATATTACCCTGTTATGTGCGAAAATACAACAACATAAATTTTTATATATATATAAAAAAAATATAAAACTGTGAATATAGTCAATTTTTCTAAATTGCATATTTTCTGCAATGATAAAATGTTCGTTGTAAAGCTTAAAGGGATAGTTCACTTTGAAATAAATTTTTGATATGTTTTAGCTTACCTCAATGGCATCCAAGATGTAGGTGTTTCCGCAGTATTTTCAATTTTGACATTTTTCAGTCAAACCGTTGTTGTCTATCAGTCATACACTAGAGGCTAAGGGGGTCCACCAAAAATTATGCACAGAGAAGTCAAAATTAAACATGATTTAATGACTCGTAAATGTAAGTACACATTGATGGCCTAAGACACGAAACGAGCGGTTTGTGTGAGAAAACGAACAGTATTTATATCGTTTTTAGCTCCTCTAATCATAGCCATGACAAAATGATCTGACGATCAAAAGAGATTTCGGAAGTTTTACCCTTCACTAAACATATTTAGATATACGGGAAACCGCAATGGAAGACAATTTCGGTATATCTATATATGTTTTGTAAAAGGTAAAACTTTCGAAATCTCTGTGTAAATATTGAGTGACGTCACGCGCAAGCGATCACTTCCGGCGTAACATTGAACTGATTCAGTTCGGTTCAGTTGGACATTGAACAACTGATTCAGGTCACTTGGACGTCACTGTGATTACAAGAGGTAAAAACGATATAAATACTGTTCGTTTTCTCACAAAAAACGCTTGTTTCGTGTCTTAGGCCATCAATGTGTACATACATTTACGAGTCATTAAATCATGTTTAATTTTGACTTCTCTGTGCATGCTTTTTGGTGGACCCCCTTAGTCTCCAGTGTATGACTGATAGACCGCAACGGTTTGACTGAAAAAAGTCAAAATTGAAAATACTGTGGAAACAAAGTCACCTACATCTTGGATGCCCTTGAGGTAAGCTAAAACATATCAAAAATTAATTTCAAAGTGAACTATCCCTTTAATGTGTAAGGAGGAGCAACGTATATTTTTGATATACTGATGAATGTCACACAGCAGTTAATACATACAAAATAAATTGTCAGAATTTTAAAATGCATGTAGATGAACATACATACAGTTGGTGGTGTGACTCAAGACAAATTTTGGTCTTGCACACGTTTTTGGTTTACTCAGCAGTGTAGCTGTTCTCAATGCACAGTACGATAAAAGAGCTGTCACAGCCACGTGGCAACTGCTGAATTAGGTAGCCATCTTGGAGAGAGGAAGCCATGCCAGTGACGGCATGACTACCAGTTCGCCATGTTTCACAGTAGCTGTCTGTTTGCCTGTTTCCACCAGTGCTTGATCCATGCCATACCATCTTCTCTGGCCTATTAAAGTGGTTATGGAGAAAATAAATGGCAGGCTAATCATTTTTGTTAAGGTTCTTGTTGTTAAGGAATATGTCTTAGACCCTCTTACCAGGCATCATCATTGAGAACATCTCGACCGTCGAATGAGTAGATGCGCACATCATCATTCAACCTGCCCTCTGAGTCATTAAAGATAGACTCCCAGTTGCTGAATAATTCCTCATCCTGTGGTGAATATATTAAACGGCGTTATAAAAGACTACAGTATTTACTGAAAAAAAAGCTTGTTTAGCGACAAATGAAGTATCTTACTTGAAGATTTACTATAGGTAACAGATCCCTGTCATTCTTCCGAACAATACTGTGTAGGTCCTGTAACCGGGATGACAGAAAAGCCCTGAATGTTCCTTTGAGCCCAATTGCTTGCGCCTGTAAGAAGCACTGGTGGTCTACACCTCTAATATCCCGCATGTCACCCCGTTGGGGTGAGTTGAGAGCAATCAGGTGCAGCTAGGGTGACAAAACAGATAATTATTATAAGATAACTTGACAATAAATGTATTTTATAAACAATAAAGATTATATTAAAAGGACATCTATTGTTAACAAATTCCCAATTATGCATGAATGCTACAAATTTCTGTCATTATCATTTGTTATCAAGTATTCATTACTTCAATGAGCTTATTGTTTAATTCTGCCTTAAATTATTACATTGTTTAAATTAATACATTTTTAGTTACCTGTGATTTGTATTTGTACATTTCTGAAATACATAACTTAGACATTTACCTCTGATAACAGATAACTCTAAATTGTAATGTAGACTAATGCATTTTCTGTAAAGCTGCTTTGAAACGATGTGTATTGTGAAAAGTGCTATACAAATAAATGTGAATTTAATTATTTTTGTTTGTTTGTTTTTGTGTGTAAAATACATGAATAAATGTCACTGTTTTTTTTTTTGACTGTTACATTGAACTGACCTGAGCCAAATAACTACAATAGTATCTTCGCTAGACATACTTTTTAGTTTAATTGAACTAAACTGAATCAACATCTAACTAAATTGAGCTTAATAATAATGTTTTTTTATTGTAAAGCTGCTTTACAGCTGAAATTGTATTCATTTCATAATCAAAGAACTTTGCTATAATAATACTATTATTTTCTTGTTTATTACTTGGCTGCTTTGAAACGTTTGTGACAATTACTACTAGTTGAAGGCTGAAATCATTTGAAATAAAAATGTTGCTACAAATAGTTCTGATCCATCACTTATACCGGTCATGCTCTTTTTTTTTATCCTACCATTCAAAAGTTTGGTGTTGGTGATTTAAAAAAAAAAGTCTCTTGATCAAAAAAAAAATAATTTTTTTTTTTGAAATATTATTACAATTTAAAAGATATAAGCATAATAATATGCCTATACCTATACTATTTTCTCTGTCAATATATTTGTTTTAACTTTATTTTAGGTTGAGTTAAATTGTACTTGCTCAAATAAGTGAGTAATATTAATTAACTTGTACTTACTAGGTTTTGGTTTAGGGTATAATATATTGTTTTTATTATATTAAGTCTAACTAAGTAACATACAGCAACATATAGTTACATATAAAAACAAAACAAAAAAACTTTATTTCTGTGATGGAAAAGATGAGTTTTCAGCAGTCATTAATAATTTAATATTTAAAGAGGTGGTATAATGCCTCTTTTGTAAAATAAGTCTCTGTTGTCCCCAGAGTGTGTATGGGACGTTAGATATATTTTTTTACAGCATGTTAAACCTTTTTGAGGGTCCGTAGAAAATACGTTGTTTCGTGTGTGTCCCTTTAAATGCAAATGAGCTGCTTCTCCCGGGCACAGAGGGCAGAGCTTCAAGAGCTCATTTGTGTTAGCAGCTCCGATTACCTCACGCAGACAAGCACTAAAATGTCAGAAACTGAACTGCCTTTTATGTTTAAACTGGAGTCGGACAATGATGGAGAGAATTAAGAAGAAGTGACAACATTTCTGAATGGTTAGTTGATGAATTTATGTTGCTTATGTGGAGTTAACTATCCTCAAATCTTTCATTAGCATATTCTTTCATGATAATCTATAAAATCGCTCATGTGGAAACTGTTGTATGCATACAGAGTAACATGCCATTGCATTTGTGTTATGTACTGTAATGTACTGTTGCATGTGAAAAGACGGATGATAGACTCACAAATGTGCTGTACTACAACAACTCTTCCTCTTCTCGTGTTCCAGGTGGCGGGGTTTATGTAAATTTTAGGGTAAGTGATGTCACTTTGCAGATGATGTTTATGTTCAAACAGCAACATTACACACTATGATTAGTGAAATCATAATCAACCACCCCTTTAACCTTTAATTTAACCTATAAATATAATTTAACCTTGTTGAATAAAAGTACTAATTTCTTTCAAAAAATATTACTGACACCAAACTTTTTGAACTTTTTGGCAGTGTACCTCAGTAAATAATGTAAAAAGAAGTATTAGTATTTTAAAGGGTTAGTTCTCCCAAAAATGAAAATTATGTCATTAACGACTCACCCTCATGTCGTTCTAAGCCTGTAAGACCTCCGTTCATCTTCGGAACTCAGTTTAAGATATTTTAGATTTAGTCCAAGAACTTTCTGTCACTCCATTGATAATGTATTTATAATATGCTGTTCTTGTCCAGAAAGGAAATAAAGACATCATCAAAGTAGTCCATGTGACATCATCAATGGGTAAGTTAGAGTGTTTTGAAGCATCGAAAATACATTTTGGTCCAAAAATGACAAAAACTATGACTTTATTAAACATTGTATTGTCTCCCGGTTCCCAGAGAAAATGTCAGCAGCGTCTTACGTCACCATCGTCACTGCGGACTTGTGAACGCAGAACCGGAAGAGAATACAATGTTTAATAAAGTTGTAGTTTTTGTTATTTTTGGACCAAAATGTATTTTCGATGCTTCAAAACATTCTAACTAACCCACTGATGTCACATGGACTACTTTGATCATGTCTGTATTTCCTTTCTGGACAAGGACAGTATACCGTGTATACATTTTCAATGAAGGGACAGAAAACTCTTAAGGCCCGTTCACACCAAGCACGATAACTATAATGATAAATATAAAGATATAATTCTAAAAATCGTTCTTCATATCAAAGAATAACAGAGTTCACACCACAGCTATAACAATAAAGATATGAGGAACGATATCGTTGGGATCACTTTCAGAACGATTTTTTTCCAGCTGTTCAATGATAAAACACTGGCAGCCAATCAGAATCCATTCTAATTTAAAGGTCTTGCGCATTTAAAATGGCAGATGACATCGCAGAGAAGTTAATCGTCGAGGTACAAAAAAAAAATCCACTGTTTGACGAGTCCAAACCCCCTTTTCAAGGATACGTTAAAAAAGATGGATATGTGGAAAGCAAGTCGTATCCTGGGAATAAACGGTAAAAAGTATTCACAATGAGATATTATGCAGTTTAGCATAGTGTTACAAAATTACCTCAGGTAGGCTATACAGCGCTAGTTGACAACATTGCTGAAGTTGCAGTGAAAAAAGCGTTGTATACTTAAATGTGTTCACTAGGCAATGTTTTTATCCCATCATTGACTTCGTCAGCTAAATCCACTGTTAGATATTACCAAGCGTGCCGCACAAGCCCTCAAAAGTGAAGCCAAAACGTCTCAATCGCCCCCCTGTGACCGGACCTAGTATAGCTCATAACCCCGGCCTCCCCATGTTATTCAATGGGATGCGAGACCAACTAAACAATTAAATTACACTTCACATATCCTTTTTCCAAATATAGTTTCTGTCATTTACTGTAGTTTCTATCACCTTGATGTAATTTCAAGTGTTCGTTTTTAAAATAAGTTTGCTTTTAGTTAGTTATGTGATGATAAAATAACGGTGCTCTGACATCATGATTAACAGCTGTGATTGACAGGTTCTCTGTGCGAGGTAGTCACTGAAGCACCAGCGGACTTTTTTAATAATGTTGATTATGTGGTTAGTAGTCGTATTTACCTTATTTTAACGAGGTTCTGCAATCAGCAGACATCGTTGGAGAAGAACGAAGCAGACAAAGGACACTTAATGAAAGTGCGGGGTGTGTGCTTGCGTTTGATTCAGCGAGAATAAGGGCGCGGCCTTGATTTCGCGGCTTTACTTCCTGCTCACAACTCTCATACAGTCTATGGATATTACACTAGACTTGCTAGATTCATTGTTTAGATGCGCTCCCAACTCTGCTCGTATTTTAAGGATATCGTGTACCCAAAAGCGCCTGTTTTTCTTTTGATATTTGTTTGTAACGTAAAGCAGCAGTAGCAGTAATCCAATTTTTGCTACTTTGAAACCGCAGCGCGGGCGCGTGATTAGAATAAAATGACCGTTATCGGTCGTTGGTGTAGACGCATATATATTTATTTTATCGTTATCTTTATATTTGGTATAGAATCAAATTTTCGCCTGAGATAGGGAACCAATCACAGAATGGGGAGGGAGCAGCAAGACGATGACGACGTACATGCGACACACCGAAGCAGTTACCGAAGTTACCTTTTGATACAGCCTTTGTGTATACATACATCTCCAAAATCTCTGACCCATCGTCTTCTTCCTCGTCTAATTTTCTGTTGCTCTACATACGTCATCTGGTATCATTGACCCGATTGGCTATGAGCTATGTACAGGCGCATATGATAGAAATTCGTAGCGCCCAATAATACGGCTCTGGGCATTCGTAAACAAGGCCTCAAATACGAGAACATGTCTCATTTTCAATGATCCGTGTTCTGGCGTTAGCCAGGCTAGAAAACAGGGACTAAATCTAAAATATCTAAAATATCCTATTTGTGTTCCGACGATGAACGGAGGTGTTACGGGTTTGGAACGACATGAGGGTGATTCGTTAATGACAGAATTTGCATTTTTGGGTGAACAAACCCTTTAATGAAGAATTTCTGTGGGATTGTGCTATGGATTCTTGGCTTTTCCCTTGTGAAAAAGACCAGAGACCTTGTAATCTGGTATCGCATATGTGATCTCCCAATATCTAATGAATTATTCACTAAATAACACAAGGAATATTCAGTTAGAGCAACATATATTTACTGTATGTTGCATTTGAATTTATATAAAAATTATACTAAAATGGTAAATGGACTGCATTTATATAGCGCCTTCATAGACCTAATGGCCACCAAAGCGCTTTACATATTGCCTCACATTCACCCATTCACACACACATTCACACACCGACGGCGGACATATACTACGGACATATATGTGATTTTCCCATTTTTGTAGTATACAATAGTATCTATTAAAATGGGTAAAAATGCTGCCAAATTGTCAACTTTTTTACCTTGTGGCAAGAGTAGAATAATGTCACCTTTTTTACTGTACATTATTTTATAAATACATTTTGTGAATGCATGTTAAGCAAGGCTTTCATCAATCCATTCGCAATTGATGATTGTTTACCGTTTGATGGAGATTACTTCCTAGAATAATTTGTTAGACATTCCTCATCGTCCATAGGGAAAAATAATAGACAAGCAAACAATTATTCCTCATAAAAATGATAAGGTGCTTACTGCATGGCCTGCTGTGTGTGTGTGAGCTGGAAGCCTGGCTTCTTCAATGACAGGCCTGAGGTGATGCGTACGTTCATATCTTCTGTCAGGATAGCCAGACTGATCCGGGTGGCTGCCATGAATGTGCTTTCTGGAATCAAGATGGTGCTGGTAAATTGGGTCGACTGATGGCGAGTACCGTGGATCAGTTGGAGAAAGGGATTGTGGATCTGTATGTCTGTGGTATGGGTCATATGATGGCTGGTATCTGGGATTGTGTGGCACAGGATACTGGGCTTCTGGTTGTGGAGGGGCTCTTGGGCGAGAGGTAGTGGGGTAGTCCTGAGAGTAGTGAACCACTTGTGGAGACTTCCCTGCTTCCATCTGTTTATCCTAGAAACCCACCGTGCAAAAAAAAAAAAAAAAAAAAAAAAAAACAAGGAGAAAAATGCGGTCATATTTACCACTGCCCAAAATGTAGTGACCTTTACCCGTTACCTGGCAAAATTGTGTGGGTGAAATCCATAAATTTCAACAGGAATCCGCATGATCAGAAGTTTAGCATCAGGGTGGAAAAGTTTCCCATGCAGATTTCAAAGTTGGTCAAAAATGTGCCATGTTGACTAACAGAAGGCTGCTTAGTTTGAAAGTGAATTCTATGCGAGTAGTGTTTCATGCATCGTTACACTTTCAGTGACCGCAGTAGTGTGCCAACTACACCAATTTGCACCATTAACTCGTGCAGTAAATAGCTCTGGAAGAATCACATCCAGAAATGTAAGGATCCAATGAAATAGAAGTGAATTATCAGGTTTACTTTCCATCTTAATACAATCATTTTTAGCAGCTGTAAGAGCCATTAGTACAATGTGCCTATGCATAAGATTCAAAGCTTGTTAGATTGTTTAATAACAAGACTTAGGAAGTTAAAGGCATGCAGAAATCATATCAGACAATCTGAAGCTACCAAAGTTCAAAACTGCATCAATGAACCATTGACAATTGACCTTTTTTGCCCTTGAAATGTCTTTTTTTTTTTTTTTTTTGCTAACGTGACCACACATTTACTCATGGTAAACATTGTTACAGTACTTGTTAGTGAAATGCTAATGGGCGAAGGAAGTTAAGATTTATTAGTTACTTAATTCTGGTACTTACCAGACCCCGTTGGAAAGGGGTATATTCTCCAAGCTGAAATGAAACAACCAGAAACATCAGAAGGTTCTCAGCAAATAGATTCTTGGAAAATTACAAAAAGGATATATGAAGAGTTCAGATGCAAAAGCCTCTAAGTGCCATTCGAAATTTTCTTCTAGAATGATCATTTTTATCAAGCTTGTATATTTAAGTATTAAGGGGGGCATGCAGTCCAGCAATAATTATGTTCAACCTAAATATAAGCAAAAGTTACCATATTTTATTTTTAACCAAAAATAAAATTTGATAAAATAAAAAATAAAAAGTGATTGTATTAATTTTATTGTTGAAAGTGAGAAAAAAATGCATTTTACTTACAGTTTTTTTCAGTCGCTAACAAGCATTTGTCCAAACAGTTTCACATTTTCAAAACTCTAAACACAATTAGCACAACATCGATCTTTTGTGGCCATACCATTCACACATTTCATGTTGTTTTCACAAAATATGCAGTCAGTGAACACAATTCCACAATGCTTACATTTTCTTAACAGACAAGCTATACCTCCCAACAAAATTATAGATTGTTTTTGTAATATTTACAAATGTTAACACACCATCCCAAAATAGCAAAAACAATATTCCAAACCTCAGATACAGTATAAAAATTTCTGCTTCTGCAATGATACCAGTTCAAAAACAATATATCAAAAACAATTGAATAATTGACCCACAGCTTATTTATGTTGGGTAAATTGGGCCAACCACAGCTGTTTTCAGTCTGGCTTAGATTCAGTGGCGGGGGTTGTTTTTTTCTATTACATTGAATCTTATACAGTAAAAGGAGGCCATTACAGTAAAGAGTAATGTTTTTGGAAACAGAAAAAGACAAACACTGTAACGTCTGGACGAGGAAGAGTAAGAGCAAGGGGCCCAGGGAGAAGAGCAGGCCCAGTGAGAGGTGCAGTGAGAGATGCAGTGAGAGGTGCAGTGAGAGGTGCGGTGAGAGATGCAGTGAGAGATGCGGTGAGAGATGCAGTGAGAGATGCAGTGAGAGATGCAGTGAGAGGTGCGGTGAGAGATGCAGTGAGAGATGCTGTGAGAGATGCAGTGAGAGATGCGGTGAGAGATGCAGTGAGAGATGCAGTGAGAGATGCAGTGAGAGATGCAGTGAGAGGTGCAGTGAGAGATGCAGTGAGAGGTGCAGTGAGAGATGCAGTGAGAGATGCGGTGAGAGATGCAGTGAGAGGTGCGGTGAGAGATGCAGTGAGAGGTGCGGTGAGAGATGCAGTGAGAGGTGCAGTGAGAGATGCAGTGAGAGATGCTGTGAGAGATGCTGTGAGAGATGCAGTGAGAGATGCGGTGAGAGTAGCATTGAGAGATGCCGTGAGAGATGCACGGAGAGATGCAGTGAGAGATGCTGTGAGAGATGCAGTGAGAGATGCAGTGAGAGATGCAGTGAGAGATGCAGTGAGAGGTGCAGTGAGAGATGCAGTGAGAGATGCTGTGAGAGATGCTGTGAGAGGTGCAGTGAGAGGTGCAGAGAGATACAGTGAGAGTTACAGGAGCAGTGAGAGATGCAGTGAGAGATACAGGAGCAGTGAGAGATGCAGGAGCAGTGAGAGATGCAGTGAGAGATACAGGAGCAGTGAGAGATCCAGTGAGAGATGCAGTGAGAGGTGCAGGTGCAGTGAGAGGTGAAAAATACTTGAAAAAATATTTGTTTTTTACTGGAATGCTTTTGAATGTGAACATTACTGTACATGTGGACAGTTCCCAACCAACAAATGTAGTGTAAAAAAGGTGGATTACATATTTTTCATGCAAATACCTGTAAAACTGAAACATCAAAGTCTGCAGTTTTTGTAATGTCAACAATAGCCAGTATTTTGAAACCTGGTGTACTTTGATTGACTGCATGTACCTTGTGAAGTGAAAACAAGAGTTATTCTTTGACAGAATAATTTCATTTTGAGTAATATTTCGATTGTTTTGGTAAAGTTAGTGTGTGCAGAGAAAGATGTGTTCTATTTTGAAATGAAGAGTTAGTGTATATTTAACAAAATGTGTTTTTGAGATGAAAATTATCCATTTGGCCAAATGTGTTTTGTAGGTGTGAGTCTGTGTTAAGAGTTTAGAAAAAATATCTGAAGTATGGGTAAGCGCTTGCTAGCGATTGAAAAAAACTGTAATGTTACCTGAGTAAAATGTAGCCTGTGTCATAATGAAACACCCCTCTCCTAAAAATGGTCTGAGTAGGCTTTTTTGTTGTTGTACATAACGCAAATCAAAACGCCAGTGCTTCGTGCCAGTTTGCAGTCAGCAGCACAAATGAGTGACAAACGATGGAGTGTGCGAATTAACACGGTGAGACCATAGACAGTAAAAGAAAAAGTAAAACTGCTCACCACCTCCCCAGTGTGATTGAAGCAATCGAATGCCTAAAATTGTCCTGTAAATTATCTAATGAGGCCTTATCAGATGCGCGAGCGTTTGATCTTATAAAACTTAAACTTTGTTATTTTTAAAAAAAATGAGCGATCGTTTCGCTTGATAAGACCCTTATTTATCATCTAGAATCGTTTAAAGCCCTTTGAACAGGTTTGCAGTTTGTACTGAAAGTTTCTTTTGTAACTTGAACCGTCTGGTTCCCACTGAGGTCCATTATATGGAGAAAAATCCTGGAACATTTTCATTAAAAACCTCTTTTCGAGTGAAGAAAGAAAGACATGGACATCGTGGATGACATGGGGGTGAGTAAATTACGACAACCAGGATGCTGTACGGAACACGGTGTCTAGCGCACCGTAAAATAGTCACAGACACAGTCGAATATGGCAAGACAGAGAACCGCAATATTATGAAGCTGCAGACTCGGAGCCTGCATCTACAGTCAATAAACAAAGAGAGGTCAGGAAAATAATCTATTACTTCAACATTCCTCATTCCTTTTGTGCGCTGGAGAAAATTTTTCATTTTCTCCAAGCTGTACCCACTATATTCTTGTCTCAACTCTTCCTCAATTCACCACCTCAGAACTTTTGGTAATGATCTCATCTTGTGCTTTTTTCTTTGATTTAGCTATATTTTCACCAAGATTAGACTTCCTTTTCACTGATGGCACTTTAAATACTGCTTCATCCTCTTTAAGTAATTAACCCACCATCTCATCAAGTTCAATGTCCATTGTCTCGTCATCTTTTCTAATTCGTTTCTCACTACTCTTCACTCCACTTCTTCCTGGTTCCTCATCATTATCCACATTCAAATCCGAGCCCTCACCAATTTCACTTTCTTTTTCTACACTCTGATTTTCATAATGACTTTGAGACCCACTTTCATCTTCTGTAACATTGGGCACATTTTTGTCTGGACAAGCACGTACCAAGTGCCCCACTTTCCCGCATCCAAAGCATTTCATGCTCTCCGTTGTGGCAAAAATTACATAAACAAAACTATCAACTTTGAATTTAAAAGCAAAATTCAGCTCATCAATATCGCTCCTCAAGATCATGTATACCTGTCTACGAAAAGACACAACGTGTTTCAACAACGGATTTTAATTGTCCATACCAAGATAATTTACGTTTCAGCGCTTCGTCACTAATAAAAGGAGGCACGTTAGACAGCAAAACCTTTCTCGCTGGGTTAACAAGTGGGAAAACCTTGATCAAACTATCATTGAGGACAATCCCATTTTCAACTATCGTGTTCACTTTCTCAGTTTTATCTAAAAAAATCACCACAGCACCGTTCATTCTCGACGCCGAACCAATACTGCTGTGACCAACACCAACCACCGATCCTACTGCTAACACACATTCTTCGACTGAACACTCAACTCCAACCGGCACTTTTATTCCATGTTGCCAGGTGAGTTGCTCATAACTTGCCGCCTCCACATTCGCCATGGTAGCCAGTTTAAATTACCAGTTTAAACTGGCTAACCCAACCTCCCCTTTCCCACCACAATATCCCCAGTGCTTTGTGACCATACACAATAAAAACAGTGAGAGAAACAACACTTAAGTAAAACAGACCTTTGAAAGAGACTCCACAATTACGCTCCAATTCACACTCCGCACTCACTCAGCAAACGCTCACGCATGCGCACGAGAGAGAGAGAGAGAGAGAGAGAGAGAGAGAGTAGAGAGAGAGAGAGATAGAGAAGGCTAGACGATTACCAGGACTTTTCTGACACCATCCTCTTCTCTCATAAAAAGTTCTTTCTTGTCTGTTACATAGATTAGCGTGCCTTCTGGATGCTGAATAGTTGATGCAGCCATGGCATCAAAAGACCTCAAAACCATAACCTGAGGAAATGAAAACAAACTAGAAAAGATTAATTTTCTTATAGAAACAAAGTTGATCAGTGTGCCCACTGAGAGCAAGCAGTGTTTCTGTAGTGAAAACTCACCCGAGATAAATATCCAGGGACTCCAGGAGGTCCAGGAGGTCCAGGTGGCCCAGGAATACTGATTGCTAAAGGATCAAGTTGTTAAAATGAAAAAGTTGTTTTTATTTATTTATGAGCTTTTGCATTTAATGGACAGGACAGCAAGAGAGAAGACTAGAAAAAGGGAGAGACAAGAAATGAGATCAGGACACGAAGCAGGTCAGATTCAATTCTGAATCCCTGGAAACCCAACATATATTTTATGTGTTGAGTGGCAGTGTGGATTCCTTACTTTGTGATGGTCTGTATGTTCCTGGCAGCAATGATGCCGGTGGTCCAGGTGGACCTGGCGGGCCAGGACTACCTGGGCGACCCTCATAACCAATTCCTGGGGCTCCAGAAGGCCCAGGGGGACCTGGAGGTCCTCTAATAGATTCACCTCTAGGACCCTATAGCGAAATTAACATTTAGTCAAGTAAGCCACTTTAGATGATAAGAAGAAACAAAGGTAAACTCAGAATCTGAGAGGAATCATTTGATGTCTGTGCTATGTCACCGGTGGTCCAGGTCTTCCAGGTGGACCTTGTAATCCACCATGACGAGGGTCGTAGAAACCTCCTCCTGGTTCTCCCTTCTCCCCTTTAGCACCATGCTCACCTTTCATCTCATGCTACAGCACAACATATTACATAATACAGGACATTTTCCATGTGCTGCACATTTTCAACAGAACATTACTACATGTAAACATAAAACTTGTGTAAAGGTTGGAAACATCATACCTTAAATGTATAAATGTCAAAGGTGGTAGTGAGACCTACGGCAGATGACAATGACGTCATGTTCACATTTCACAGTAAAAAAAAAATATAATATTCACTTCTCTCAATATCCTATAAAAAGGCTTGATGCTTCAGTAAATTATACCTGGCAATCCAGGTATGCCAGATGCTCCTCTTTCACCCTTGTCCCCTTTGATAGCTGTGGCAATGAAATTTGAGATATTTACATCTATTCAGTTAGCTGCTGTTCCAAAAGCAACATACACATTCTTCAGAAGACTCACATTCCTTTGGAATAAGAGTACACTGATTCATCACAAACAAATATTCTTAAAGGATTAGTTCACTTTTGAAAAACTTTTGCTGATAATTTACTCACCCCCATGTCATCCAAGATGTCCATGTCTTTCTTTCCTCAGTCGAAAAGAAATTTAGGTTTTTGATGAAAACATTCCAGGATTTTTCTCCATATAATGGACTTCAATGGGAACCGGATGGTTCAAGGTCCAAAAGACAGTTAATAACAGTTTCAGATGCAGCTTCAAATGTCTTTAAACGACACCAGACGATGAATAAGGGTCTTATCATGCGAAACGATCAGTTATTTCAAAACTTATTCCAAAAATGTAACTTTTCTAAGGACAAATGCTAGCCTTGCTGTATTCTCTGAGGCGCGTTTGTAACGTCACGTAATACGTAATTACGTTCAAAAGGTCACGGGCGACGTAGCCGGAAGTACAGAATCAAAATCGTCCGACATCGTTGTTTTACCTTTTAATTCCTTTTTTGTAAACGGCGTTTGAGTTAGTTTGCACGTTCAACCTATGCGATCAACTTGTAAACACTGACTCTGTACTTCCGGCTACGTCGCCCGTGACCTTTTGAATGTATTTACGTAATACGTGACGTTGCAAACGCGCCTCACAGAATAGAGCAAGGCTAGCATTTGTCCTTAGAAAAGTTACATTTTTGCAATAAGTTTTGAAATAACCGATCGTTTCGCATGATAAGACCCTTATTCATCGTCTGATATCGTTTAAAGACATTTGAAGCTGCATCTGAAACAGTTATTAACTGTCTTTTGGACCTTGAACCATCCGGTTCCCATTGAAGTCCATTATATGGAGAAAAATCCTGGAATGTTTTCATCAAAAACCTAAATTTCTTTTCGACTGAGGAAAGAAAGACATGGACATCTTGGATGACATGGGGGTGAGTAAATTATCAGCAAAAGTTTTTTCAAAAGTGAACTAACCCTTTAAATACATATTTATGTTTTACTCAACCCGGTCTCATCCCAAGACGTCATATAACTGACGTTTTGGGACGTCTTTTGACCATACGTCAATATTCGGCTTTTTAGGGCCCCCTTAAACGTCGGTAGATGAGGTTATGGGATCCTAACTCTACCCCAGACCTAAACCTAAACCTAACCCGTCACCTAACTGACGTTAAAGGTAAAGCGTCAGTTGTATGACGGCCCGGGATCGCCATCTACCGACGTTTAAGGGGGCCCTAAAAAGGCGGATATTGACGTATGGTCAAAAGACGTCCCAAGACGTCAGTTATATGACTTTTTGGGATGAGACTGTGTTATTTTACTAAACTGGAATGTGATATGGATTGGAAAAATGACAAATCAGATTAACTCACCAAAGGGAACTCTTGAGCTTCCATAATCATAACCCTTAAAGTAGATCACATAAAAAACTGTGAGCCAGTACACATGCTATTTTTATAGCAAACAAACCTACAATATATATATATTTTTTTACTACAAGATATTCATTACTCACATTAAATCTTTCCACAGAGGCTGGAGTTCCAGGAGGACCGGGTGGCCCAGGTGCACCAGGTGGACCAGGGGGTCCCTAAAATCAGTTTGAAATCTATAGTATATTGTATATGTACTTCTATAGTAACAATTAAATCCAAATACATAATATTTTTTTTACCTGATAGCCATTACCATATCCTCCACCTGAATCACCTTTTGCCCCCTTTTTTCCATTTAGACCAGGTCGACCCTTTTTGATTAAGAATATAGTGAAATCAAGAATATACCAAATTATTAGAATTATCAAAAAAAATAAAAAAATAAAACTCGATAAGAAATATAATATTAATATATAATTGCAGGCAACAGTTAAAGTTTATTAATATAATTTCATATAATTTTATATACTAGTTTCATTCAGAGTGAACAAACAGCTGGAAGTGTTTTTGTGTTAGTAACGAGAGGGATTTGGGACCATTCTATTAAGTTTGAAGTTTCTTTTATTTACATTCTCTGATTATTAAAACATCATGTGTTGACTTTCTAGCAGCTTCCAGTTTCAACTACTACTGTTTACACTACCGTGTACCTGTGTATCACACTTTTCAGAATTTTTATCTGCGACAGTGATCATCATATTTTCAATAATACTTTTTGAAAATCGCTTACTCTCACTTAAAACAAAATCAACTAACATTTAAATCTCTTAATAGAATAATACAGACCAATATTTAAATTGCTAATTTGAACTTTAAATTGCTAAATTGCTGCCTTTGAACACTCATACATGTGCCTGAGTCACTGTGGCACTGATATGTACTGTATGTTTATTGTTTATTGTTTATTGTTAAAAGGATCCCCATTAGCTGTCACCAAAGTGAGAAGCTAGTCTTCCTGGGGTCCCCAAGATAAATAAGTACATAAATTAAATAACAATGATAATCTAAAAACAATTAAAACATTGTAGACATCATTATAAACATCATCAACAATTAATCAAAATAAATTATTACAATGTTACCATCATTATTCCATTCACACGTTCTCTACTCACAATTCTATACAAGTGCATTCTCAGATAGTACCTGAAAGAGACTTTGCCATTCATTTTATGTATATTCAATGGACAATATTGTTCCAATGATTAATGGCACGATAAATAACTGTTCTCTTTAAAGTATTTGAATTTGGACGTGGCAACATCATCTGTTAAACAACCCTATGATTAGAATATAGCTAGATCTTAATCTAAAGGAGCACTCATATCATCAATATATATCGTTATGTTGCCCAGACCTAAATCTTACTGTATGGTAAAGCAAATGACAGTGTACTGTAAAGCGGCTTTGAAACAATGTGTATTCTGGAAAGCACTTTACCAATAAATTTGACTTGAATTTTATGCCAGTTGAAATATAAAAAAGCATGAGATTAATAACTTGTATTGAATGATAATTAACTTTTAATAAAAAATGTATAATAATAGGTAACAATATTTCACAACTGATAAATGTAACTCTTTTCTTTCATGTTTTCAGACAAAAATTTACACCATTTACAACAATCTGTCCTCTTCTTCTGTCACCACTATCTGCCCTCCCACTCCATCACCCCCACCCCACCCCCCCACACCAAAATTGTATCAGGAATGAAAACATCTACAGTACATGTGTCCTGGACCCCATTCCATCCAACCTCATCAAGGACTGTCTACCTGACATTTCCACACTCGGACTGTCTTTCCACACTCTTTACAGATATCATTAACTCCTCTCTCAGCTCTGGCTCAATCCCTCCTTCACTCAAACTGGCTGCTACCACCCCCATCCTCAAAAACCCGGACTCAACCCTGACATCATGTCAAACTTCCAACCCATCTCGAATCTCCCCTTTCTGTCTGATACTAGAATGCACTGTCGCCAAACAACTTAAAACTCACTTCTGCTCAAATGACCTTTATGAACCATTTCAATCAGGTTTCCGATCACATCACAGCACTGAAACAGCCCTCCTCAAAGTTACCAACAACATCCTCCTCTCTGCAGATGCTGGTCACCTCACCATCCTCATCCTCCTTGATCTAACTGCAGCTTTTGACACTATCAACCACACCATTCTTCTCTCCCGCCTTGAATCTTCCCTCAATATCACCGGCACTGCCCTCTCCTGGCTCCGATCTTATCTCACTGACAGACAACAATTCATCTACAGAAACAACTGCACCTCCTCCACTGCTCCTCTGCCCCAAGGCGTCCCCCAGGGTTCGGTGCTTGGTCCTCTCCTCTTCATAATATACCTGCTTCCCCTTGGCAATATCATTCGCCACCATGGTCTCAATTTTCACTGCTATGCCGATGATGTTCAGCTCAACATCTCCACTAAATCCATCACCTCTGCCACCCACTCCACTATCACCAACTGCCTCACTGACAATAAATCCTGGATGCACACCAATTTCTTTCAACTCAACTGCAAAAAAAACCCCCAAACAAACAAAAAACAGACATGATCATCATCGGTCCCAAACCCATCACTAAAACCATTCACAGTTTCTCCCTCACTGTTAACACCTTCACCCTGTCTCCATCCCTTCACAGTCACAACCACTGAGTCATCTTTGACGATAACCTCTCCTTTGAATACCACATTAAACAAATCACCAGAACTGCCTTCTTTCACCTCAAAAACATTGCCCGACTCCGTCCATCACTCTCTTTCTCCGCTGCAGAAACCATCATCCACACCTTCATCACCTCCAGAATTGACTAGCCTACTGCAATAGCATCCTGTACAGCATAACCTCCAAAACCTTAAATAAACTCCAATACATCCAGAACTCTGCTGCTCGTCTGCTCACCCCTGTCCTCAGGAACCTCCACTGGCTCCTGGTCCCACAACGAATTCAATTCAAAATCCTTCTCCTTATTCACAAAGCCCTCCATAACCAGGACCCTTCCTACTTCAGTGACCTGCTCCACCGCCACAACCCATCTCGCAGCCTCCGCTCATCTGATGCAAACCTCCTGACTCTACATCCCAGGACCAAGCACCGAACCACCGAACCCCCTTTTCTGAGGCTGCCCCCTCCCTCTGGAACTCTCTCCCCAAACAAATCTGTGACTGCACTGACCTTCCTACATTCAAATCACTGATAAAAACTCACCTTTTTTAAAATTGCTTTTAATGTTTAGCTTAGTCCATTGTGTTTTTTAGTGCATTTATTAGATATTGTTCCTGCTGCTTTTGTGATTTTTCTTTTTTTTTCTATGTAAAGTGTCTTTGAGTACTCAGAAAAGTGCTTTCAAATAAAATATATTATTATTATTATTTATTTATTTTATATATTCATGTTACATGTAATTACTATAGTAACAACTCCAAATTATGCATAATTACTTGCAACTAACCCTAAATCATTCCCTAATCCTAACCCTTTAGTACGTTTGTGTAGGTAATTATTATTGCTCTTTCAAAAATGGTTTTCAGAAAATGTAAAATTGCAGAAAATGTTGTTGATTTTGATTCAGCATGAGATATACTCACTGATCTGCCTGGTAATCCTATTTCACCTTTTGGTCCAGGTGGCCCCACTGGTCCCTAATGAGTGAAAATATATCAGCGTATCTATAGAAATCACCATCAATATATTTCTGAATAGCTATTGTGCAGGTAAAACAAATCCTCAGCAAGGCTCACCACAGGTCCCCGTGGTCCTGGAAGTCCTGGCTCGGCCTAAAACAGAGAGTAATAGACATTAGTTGTCTAACAATGCTATGGGTGTTAAGTAGTTCTGTTCTAAACAAATCCATTTGGATGACAGCCGCAGGTTTCTCACCAGCTGTCCAGCAGGCCCTCCCATATAAATGGGGCTACCACTGGAGTCATAGATTAGACCAGGTTCACCCTTCTGACCCTAAAAAAAAGAACAAAATGTAATGTCGGAGGATAAAAAAAATGCTGGTTGGAATAAAGATAGCATCTTCTAAACATTACTAAAACCAGGGCCGGATTACTGTCCTGGGTTTTAAAAATCTTTCTAACTCACTAACAACAAAACAGCAGAATCCACAGCAGTACAGTATAATTACAGTATGATTATAACTACAAGAGTATAACTAATTATTACAAGTTAAGATAAAAATTAATATGATCATTTTGATCTCAACTTGTAATAATTGCTTTAATAATTGCAAAGCATTGGTGAAGCCACAACACACACAACCTTGACGCGGATGGGCTACAAAATGCAGGTACCTAAAAACTGACTGAATTCACACAATATAGGCACTGGTCACTATGGCAGCGTTGGTATAGACGTTCCCATTGAGCCAATCGACGCAGCGCGAGTTCCCTTGAAAGGGAACACCACGGTTAGGACTGTAACCTCGGTTCCCTGAAGAGGGAGCGAGAAGCTGCGTCACCCTGCAATACTTCCGGCATGCCTGTGATTGACTTGCTTCGGCCTATCAGAAGCTGTTTAGTCTGGGTGAGCTTCATAGCTTCCTGCCATGATGTTACCCGCCTATACGGACTGATTTTACACGTGCTGCCCAATGCAATCAATCACACAGAGCACTCAACAAGTTTATTGTCAAAACCAAGGAGTTTTTTTTTTAATTCAAACATTTGCACATTGGAATTTCTAAAAACCTGTAATATTTTAGTACTTCAGGTTGTATGTTCTGACTGAAGGGGAAAAAAACCTTTTAACCTTTTCAAGATTACCTTGATAGAGTCTCCTGGTAGCCCAGGTTCCCCCCGATCACCCTTTGGACCCATTGGTCCCTTTAAAAAAAAAAAAGTTCATATAAAACATTTCTCTCTTCTCACAGAAAGTGTCAGTTTGGCCCTACTGACTTTTTATTTTCAACGCTTGCCCAAAGTAATCCACACCTTTAAATTGTGATCTTTTAAATTTTATAATCATTAGAATAAGAAAAATTAGTCTAGGTGAGGATAATAACACCAGCTGTGGTAGAAATGGATGTTATCCAAAATATAAAATACAAGTGATTTACCAAACAATTATTTTACAGCACACAGCTTACTAGACTTGAAACATAATTACAAGTTAAACATTAAAAAACTTACAGGAAACCCTGCCCGACCAGCTATACCAGGTTCTCCCTAATGAAACAAGAACAAAAACACAATGCTTGGTGTGTGATTCCATATGCAATATAATGCAGTAAAGATATGTAAATAGCAAATCAGAATTACATGGGACATCCAATATTGAACTGAATGCAGTTTAAATATTCATGTAATGGAAGAGCTATTTTAATTTATATTTATTAATGCCTTTCACCTGTGGTCCAGGAATTCCATATTTTTCCTTCTCCTGAAACTAAATGTCATTTAGGTCATTTAGCATCAGAACTGCAAAGTTGTGAAGGATTAGTAAAGTGCAATGTAGAGTTTTACAAATTCCTTTGTATCACTTACACTGCCATTAATATAGATAATTTGTCCTGGAGGACCCGGTGGCCCTGGAGGTCCTGCCACACGACCAGGATCTCCCTAAAAATAAATATATAGAAATTATTATCATATACTTGTTGCCTATAGATCCACAGACAATTTGCAGTGTTAAACTGGATATGACTGTTGAACACCTCTGTTGCTGAGAAATGAGAAAAGCAGCTATAGAGATTCTACACATAGCATTAAAAAGGGTCCTCAAATCATTATTATTTTAGAAATTAACACTCACTTTGTCACCTTTCCATCCTCTTTCCCCCTTTAGCCCCTGTAAAATTGTAAAATTATTTTTTTAAGTTACAATTTTGACATTGAAAGCTGATCTTCAAGCTCATCAACTTTCACTCACTATTTTTCCTGGAAAGCCATCTAACCCTGAGATTCCCTCTCGTCCTCTTTGACCTTCATCGCCTTTCTGGCCTGGAATACCCGGGAAACCAGGTGTGCCCTGCAGAGTTTAAAGAGAACTGACTTTGGTACCGAGTAGATTATAATTTGGCAACATGGATTTTACATCATCAACTGTCAAAATCTCACCGGTAGTCCAGGTCTCCCCTGAGGCCCCTTCAGAGAAAAATAAATAAATAAAGGGGTTTAAGGTGGGATATACACAGTGGTGTGGTGATGATAATGTAACAGCAGTTCACAGTTACCTGTGGACCTGGTGGGCCCATGACTCCTGGAATGTATTGAAGAGCAACTTCTTTTTCTTTCCCATCACTCTGGAAAACCACAAAAAAGTGGATATGGCAGATCATGTGTTGAGCCCCCAGGTGGCACAAAGTGCAGTGTGACTGCACAGCCCTTGTGATGGTCCTGAAATCAAAAGTTTTGATGTTGCTGAACTTAAAAAAAAAAGTTACTTACAGTAATCCGGAATGCAGGTCCAGGGGGCCCTGGAGGTCCTTGAGGTCCTTGAGGTCCCATGGGTCCAGGCAGCCCAGTCAGACCTTCCTGTCTTAGGATCCCTGATGAACCCTGTGGACCCTGCAGTGAAGGGGGTGGGAGGATTTATGACTGCAGCTTGTACAAAAGTGCTCTTAAAAAGTGAGTCAATTGACTTGAAGTTCAGTCATGAAACAGATTATTGATAGGTAGGTAATATGCTAGCCATATGCTATGCTGTCCGTGTGTACAACAGGGCCTGTGTTGCATGTTCAGTTTGGTTTTGTTTTCCCTGAGTTATATACCTGTTTTGCATGCTTGTGTTTCCTTTGTTGTTAATTAGTTCCATGCACCTATTTCTGGTCAGTCGATCACCCTCCTAGAGTAGTTAAGCCCTGAATTCTGTCTGTTATTTGTTTGGTGTTGTCTGAATTTTACAGTGTTGCTAGTTGTCCGGAGTATTCTTGTTATGAATTATTGGATTAAAGACAATAAAAAAGTTTTTTTTTCTTATTCTTCTGTGTCGTTCACTTCACTGAAGCAACGCAAGACATTGTGATACTGTATATAGATCCTCAGATCCTCTTGACTTATCAAATATTGTTTCTGGGTACAAGCCTCCAATTCGTTTCAATAGAGAATACTGTTTTAAAGGGGGGGTTGACTGCGATTTCACTTTTTTCATTTTAAATAGTGTGTAATGTTGCTGTTGGTGCATGAACAGTATCTGCAAAGTTGCAGCGCTGAAAGTTCAATGTAAGCAGAGATATTGTCTTTTTAAAATCAGGAGGTACTGTATAATTGCCTACAAAAACGACTCGATTGGGACTACAACTGGGTTGTGGTACGTCACTAACCTACATATTTGCATCAACCACTCCCTCCGGAATATGCAGAAAAGGGCATGCGCATATTTCAGCAGCTCCAGCTCGTCGAGTGAGTTGTTCATCCAGCTGTCAGGTCTTCTGTATTCGAACTTCCCACAGACGCTGTATTTCGTCAACAATGGATACAATTTATGTTTGATTATGTTCCTGAAAATGACGATCGTAATCTAGCTCTCTGTGCTGCGCATTTTACGGAAGACAGCTTCCAGAATCTCCACGAATTCAACACCGGATTCAACAAGAAACTGTTACTAAAACGTGAAGCAGTTTCAACTTTAAAACCAGCAGTTGTTGGGCCACAACCTGTAAGTAGGCTAAGACTTAATCATTTTAAATGTATTTTCATGTATAATTCCAGACGTAGCCTTGTGTTTTATTTTTTTCAAATGCCAGCGCTGGCTTTATAGCCACTATAGGCTACTAGTGCTATTGTGTCTACGACAAACGCGTACAAACATTATGGACCTGAATTTTGAATAAGTACTAATGTTTTAAACGTATTTTTCATGTATATATGCTTTATGACGTTATTTTCGATTTGATCAAGAACGTAAACTTGCCAACGCTGTTTGTGTTTAACATTAGTAGCCAGTCAGTAGCTATTGTTGCCAGTCAGATGCTATTGTGTAAAACAAATGTGCATAAAGTTAAAAAATGTAGCAAATAATCATTCAGAAACGTTTAGTTAGAGCCGTGTGTGGTGAGGTTCTGTGTACTCTCTTCATCGCTGCTTTCTCAGTCTGATTCTGCCTCAAACTGATACTGCAGGTCGACACATATTTACATCTGGACTGGAGCTCACGTTTCGCCCACAAAGGTAATGGGCGTTAACCTTCCGGACAACGTGAGCGACAGTTTAGCCAATCACAACACACCGGCCCAAACTAACCAATCTGAGCCCACTACGTGTTTCTGAGGGAGCGGTTTCATAGAATCAGGAAGTCAACCGCTCGTTCGAGGACAGAGGGGAGCGTGGCTGACAATAAAGGTGAAGTTTATGAAAAATAAGACTTTTAAAAAAAGAAAAAACACGAATACATGTTATATTGCACCCCATAAACACAATCATGCAAAGAAAAAAAGCAGTCAATCCCCCCTTTAACAGCTATTTATGAACACTGTTTATTTATAGCACACATTTAAGCTAAGCTTTTAAATACCCATGGTCACTACATACCGGACACCAACATTTTAACTATTTATAAAAAATGAATCACTGTCCAACTGAGATTTTGCTTTGGAGATGAAGTTTAGGGTTACGATTTTTTGGTAGTATTACAGATCACCAAGTGTATATCAGAACTGTTTTTTTGTTTGTGTTTTTAAAGAAATGGTGGTGCATGATGTCAGACTTAACAAATAGACAACAATAACAAGTAGAATTTTCAGCCAGGTGTTATATTACAAAACCCGAGAACAGATAAAACCATCTATTAGACTGGTTCATGGTTTTACCCTTAGCAGCAAAACATTGACATTTCGTATAAATCTTAATTAAATCAATCAGTACGACTTAGCCAATCTGCAAAGCTGATCTGGCTCTAAACAAATGATTTGTAAAGAAGATCCAGTCTGCTAAGACCAAATACACTAAACTGCCATATCTGAAATTGATTCATTGATTGAGAGTTGTCATGACGGAACTACAGTAAAGATCATTCAAGAAAACAGTGTAATGCAGGTTATGTGCACATTCTTCAATTGTCTTGTGAAAATGCATGACAAGGACAAGCAAGCCTCACACAATAAGAGATAAGAACAGAGTCAAACAGAAAGGTAAGTCTGAAATATTTGATTCACTCGCACTCACTTAAAACATATCTGACTATGGAAAGTTGGTTTTAGTGAGCTAATGACTTAAAGAATAGCACTTTAATTTATTAGTAAAGTTCCCTTTCACTCGCTCACGTTCAACGTAGTCGATGTGTCGACTGATTGGGATCACACTTAGTGAGCCTGTAATCTTCGAGTACTATTAAATGTAATTGGCGTGCATGCAATGCATTACACACTCCGCCCCCGCCACGCGGCTATAAATATGGAAGTGGATGCATGCACTAGTTGTCTTTCACTTCTGAGCCAATCATTTGATGTCTCTGAAAAGTGCTGTTATTTACAAACGCAAGTGTGTCGGTGTTCTTCTGGAAAACTCTCCCAGTGCTGGTGGTTTCTACAGCGTGAGTGCAGTGGTGATTGCAAGCTTTGAGCTATCAACTACTGTTTTATCAGCAACAAATTCTAAAGGTTTGTGTGTGTTGGCGGCTGGTTAGAGAGCGGAAAAGTGAGTGCTTTGTCTCTGGATGCGGTCGTTCCCTTTTTCCACTCTGACGGTCACAATTATTGCATCACGTGTTTTGGCTTACAGCACGCTGAAGGAGGTTTTGTGGGTGGTACATGTTCCCATTGTGGGAATATGACTGTCGCGGCGTCCACAAAGCACAAGTACCCCACCCCGGGTGCCGTGTGGGATGGGTGAACGGATGATAGTGATGGAGGGCTCGCCTGTTAACAATTCCCTGTGGGCTCCTCACTCCTCTATCACACTGCAGCCGATGGAATTCCTGTTGAGCGTGCTGGGCCCTCTGTAATGGACAAATCAGCCGTTTCAATTGATTTTTCCCAGAGGATAAATGTCGATAGCAGCATCGGAGGGTGAGCTGTTCTCTGGAGATGATGACTCGGCTGTATTTTCTCCCTCTGGGAGTTTAACATTGCCCGAGCCAGATCCAGAAATGTCAGCTATGCTGACATGGGCCACTGAGACTACCGGGCTCGAGTGGAACCCTCCACCGTGTCCCGTTCAGTCTCGGTTGGAGGATTGGTATCTCAGGGCGGGCTGCATTGGTTCTCAGCTCACCATGGACATGCATGAGGGTATCCCAGACTGTGTGCTCATATCACACTGCATCCGACTTCGCCCTCCGGGCATGAGTGTTGTGGCATGTGCGATCGGTCTAATGGTGTCCACCTTAGTGGTACAGGAGCAACATCGTTGGCTTAGCCTGGTCAAGGTCAAGGTCAAGTTTATTTCTATAGCACCTTAAAACACGAATGTTGACCAAAGTGCTTCACAATTCAAAGTACAGCTGCACATATGAATAGCATAACATTTAAGTTTAAAAAAACTAAAAAAAAGTTAAAATAGACAACTCACATGATTTTTACAGACAAACATACAGCATTTCGATGCATTTTAGTATGCTTGTGCAAAAAGTTACGTTTTAATCGATGTTTTAAACATTTTTAATGTAGTGGAAGATCTGATAGATAATCAGCCTGAAAGATAAGATAATATATCTGATAGATCTGATAGATAATAGCCTGATTGATATGGCTAATGTCAACAAGGTTCAGTTCCTGGTCTCCCCAATTTCTCAGGTTGGGCTGGTCGGCGAACTATGTCCAACAGTTCTCTACCGCCCAAGAGCAGACGGAGGCCATCCGGGACAGCGGGGCGGCCCGCTACCTCCACTCTGCCACCGGTGGCAGTTCCTCTGCCTGCACATCGCAGAGGGCGTTCCCCTGCCACGGCTCCCACTTGGCCTCTGCTGCGGCCTCCACTGCAGCCTCCAGCCAGGCCTCAGCATGGAGCTGGCCGCAGTAGGGGCGCCCAGTCAGCTCCAGTTGCTGTCAAGCCAGGTGGCTAGCCACAGCAAAAGCATTCCGGAGTGGGCTACTCAGGGATGGAGCAGGATGCTCTGGGAGTTGGTCACCGATCCACTCCCTCTCCCTAGGTCAGGGCCAGTTGGAGTCTTTGTTTTTTGTGTGTGCCTGTTCCTCCACTGCTCCCAAAAGAAGGGAGCAAGCGGTACCCACACAAAAAAAGAGAAAATTCCTCTGTTCCTGGGTCCTAAGAGGGCTAGTCTGGCAGTGTGCGACCCTGTAAGCCTTGCACTCATCCCCTTCTTGTTCGCGAGAACGGCAACTGGACCCGGTCATCTGCCTTCAAGGACCCGGTCATCTGCCTTCTCATGCATCCCTGGCCGTCTCATTGAGGCAGGTAAGTGTTGTACACCACACTCAGACCCTGCTTCGGGCCACCTCCGGGCCTTCCGAGCCTGGTCCCTGTCCTCCACCTCACTGCCTCACCTCGGGTACATCTGTGGTTCCCTGGCCCCTGGCACAGTGTGTGTAAGCCTGAAGATGCCTCCTACCACTCCAGCTGGCCCCGAAACAACAAGCAGACTCGGCTTGCGATTCATTTTGTTCGGCTTTGCCCTGGCTCAGTGATATTCATCATACCTAGGTGTTGAGCTGAGATACACCTAAGATCAGTGATATTTATTACACCTACGTGTTGAGCACTGCTCCTGTCCTGTGTGTGCACGTCACAGTCCTACTGTATGTCATTGTACCCTAGATATGTGGTGGGTTTTGGCCATCTCGGACCTGTGTCAATTGAAAAGGGCCCTTTTTCGAAAGCCTCCGTTCTACTACACAGAAATGAATTTTCAAATGCTCCGTCTCCAAGGTTGGCCTGAAGCGTTCGACCTGATGGACATTCTATCCTTACACTCCACAGACCATTTTGTGTTCTGGCATCGAGGGTACGAAGTATCAGTACAAGTCCTACCCTTCGAGTTCTCCATAGCCAGTTGGGTTTTCAGGTCACGGGCTGAGTATCTCTTTTTTCAGGTCAGGAGAAGGATGTCTGTTCAAGAAAAGTGTGTTAGTGCTAGAAGTGAGAAAGCGTCCCACTGAAAATTTCAGAGGCTCTTGGGGCTTCCTCCATATGAAGACCGCTTCGGCACTAGTTTTATGATCACTAGTTCACTAGTTCTGAGATGACCGTGGCAGAGCGGCACGCCCTGTGTGATAAAAGATCACCCCTGCCTGCCGCCAAACTCTCAGCCTGTGTTCAGACCTTTAGGTCCACTAACACCGACTGAGGGGCCATGTACAAAGGGCATGCTTTAACGGAGGCCTGGGCGACCTCCGACTGCATTGGTATTCGTTACCTCGAATTGGTAGTTCACCTCGCTTTGGCAGCCACCGCTGCTCAGCGAGCTGGTACTCATCTGAAAAGACAACATTGCTACTATTATGCTAAGCTTCCCTCGTATGTCACAACTCGCCCATCACCCCCTCCTTGGAGTCAGAAGTTTCTGAGGTCGCTTCATTCCACTATAAAATTCTTCCAGCCTGCTCAAACGTGCCGCCAATGAGCCTCACGACAGCTATGGCCAGGGAGAGTGGAGACTCCAATCTCCTGGCGGTCCAGCTGGGCAGGGACCACTTCAGGGCCACACAGTTACATCTGTTGCCTCTCCGGACTCTTCCCTCTGCTAGTTGTGTTTCTGTATGAGCAGACATCCCTTGAATAGACACTGGCTCTCAGCTGACTCCGGGGCCCCGCAGAAATGCATTATCCAGTGAGCCTTCATTGCTTTGCACTGCTCAAGTTCAGTGATGTTCATCACACTCAGGTGTTGAGCAGAAATGCTCCTGAAGCTCAGTGAATTATCACATCTAGTGTTGAGCAGTGCTCCTGTGCTGTGCGTGCATGTCGCTTGCACCTACTGTGCTAAGTCAGGAGGCTTGCTGCACCATTCCCCTCCTATGGACTGGATACGTGCCCAATTCTTGCTCCAGTTGAGTTCCCCTTTTTAGTCGACACATCGACTACGTCGAACGTGAGCGACTAAAAGGGAACGTCTTGGTTACGTATGTAACCCTCGTTCTTTGAAGGAAGGAACGGAGACATAGTCCCGTCGCCAGTATTTGCTGGACCACCGCTGACTCTGAGTTATGCTCGGCTCCTCAGGGAAAAAAAACTAGTGTGTGCATTCACTTCACGCACGGCAATTACATTGGCTCTTTTTAACAGTACTCGAAGATGACAGGCTCTCTAAGCGTGATCCCAATCAGTCGACACGTTGACTACGTCTCCGTTCCCTCCTTCAGGGAACGAGGGTTACATACATAACCGAGACGTTCTTGTGACACCACACACAGTTCAGTTAGTTTGTAGCCATGCATGACTTTAAGATACCTGTGGCCCGCTAGTCTCCCAGGAAGGAAACCAATTGGAGAAAAAAGAGAAAGCAGAGGAGGAGCTTTGCTAAAGAGAGAAAAACATACTGTAGATTAACTTTCCAATGGAAAAGGCTTCTGACATGTGAATGTCTGATTGTAAATGTTATATTTCAGTATTCTGTCATCAAATCTTAAAATCTGATTCATTAAATATGTTAGCATCACTTGTTTTACCTTTTCCCCTAGCTCACCACAGTCTCCCTAAAAGAAAGAGAAAAACAAAATAAGTTTCTGTCTTTAATTTTATTATTAGGCATATGTAAATAATTTTAATATTTAATTTACCTTTTGGCCTGGGGGACCAGGAGGACCAGGTTTTCCAGGTCGACCTGGAAGTCCCTGAGTCATAAAAAACAGAATAAACAGCAACATAAACACAATTCCAAAAAGGGTTTAAAATGCATGGGATTAAATGAGGGGAGGATTTCTTACAGGACGCCCAAAGGTCCCATTTTGTCCAGGAGGACCAGTGGGGCCAATTTCAGAGGACTCTAATTCTGATCCAGTTCCCCAGTCTGGTCCTGGGGGGCCAGGGGGGCCAGGAGGCCCAGGTGGACCAGAAGGACAACATAAACCCTGAAAAGATGAGAACATACTAAAATATAACTGCAAAAGGCAATTAAAGAGCCACCAGCAGCTGTTGAAGTTATTAGGACAGAATCCAAAATGGTGATTAAATAAAAAAAAAAAAAAAAAATTAAAATGACTTAAAATGCATTTGCATAGTAGGGGTGAGCGGGACACATGCTAACGCGGGGTTAGTTCTATCCCACATGATTTAAATACTTCCACATATGCTAGCATGATGAAACTTAGTGTAGGCTATTTAATAGTTACCATATCCACACTAGAGAAAAGGAATTCCCAAAAATATGAGATATCACTGAGTTTTTATTTAACAAGAAAATTGCTTAAGTTATTTATTCATTTGTATTTTTTGTTTATTTAAAATGAGACAAATTTGATATTATTTAAATCTCCAGTCTGTTATTTAGCAGTTTAGATTTCTAACTCACTAACTAGCAGAAGATCACCCGGTTAAAAATTCCAGTTGCGCAGATAAGGCACGTAACACTGAATTACAATGTGCCCCGCTATTAGAACTATGCTATTATTCTATACAGTTACAGATATAATTGGCATAATTCACTTTTATTAATTTCTGTGGAAAAACTATGGGGGAAATGCGAATAAAGGCAGAGGGGAACATTTAGAAAATATTATTTGTGTTGTCTCGTCTAATCTCCTGTTACGTGAGAGCTGTGAGTGGAGTGTTTTGTTCAGCTCTGTGTTTTTCTGAATGTCTGAATAAGTTTCCTCATCTGTTTGCCTGTATTGTTTTGACCACTGCTGTATAGTTGTGTTTTGCATTGTGTTCATTGTCAAACACCAAAATGATTTAATTTAGAATTTACAAAAAAAAATGCAAAAGAATAATTGTATTTTATTCACAAAATGTTTTAGTTTGTCATGTATATTTTTTGATTAGATCAGATAACATGTTAAGCTGTCATATGGTCATGTTACAATGTGCCCCTCACATGTTACAATGTGCCCTGCCTATCACCTATATCTAAAGAAATAAAGAAAAAGTATACACTGTATTAATGAAACAAATATTTGTACCAGACATGTGAGAAATTAATGTGAAAAAATACTCTGAAACATAAGTAGATTTTCACAAACTGAGAAAGTCAAAAAGCATTAGGTTGTGCCCTGCTCTCCCCTATGACTTTTGACCAATAGGTGGTGCTGTCGCCATATTGAAATAGTTTAGAAAGGGCATTGGAGGCAAAGATTGTTAATATGCCAAGTGTTGCCAAGATACAGCATCTCGCCATCAGATTTGTTGATGCTTTATATGAGAAGGGTTTAATGTCAGAAAGCCTAAAAAAACTTTTTGCCATCATGGTTATAATATGATCTGAGACAAATTTTAAGACTTGTACCTTAACTATACCATACCTACTTCAACACTATTGATAAAAATATCCATTTATAATATCCAATAATATCTGTGGTTAGATTAGCTGATTGCTGAAACATACCTGCAATCCAGAACCCTCCATATCCCCGAATGTCTAAAGAGAAAACATTACAGTATAACACACATTTGTTTTGGCTCATTCATCTGGTTTCATGGTATTCTAGTAAAAATATGTTTGCTAATTTTCAGTAAAAGGAAACTCAAGAAAACTTTTAAAACAACATACAACAACAACAATTTGTTTCCTGTCCGCCATTATTGGACAAACTTCGTTAATTAAAGTGTGTCTGATTATTGTTGCCGTGACTACTGAGGTCAGGCACACCCGAATTAATCAATTTGTCCAATAATAGCAGAGAGGAAACAAGGAGCTGGCTTAAGTTCAGGAAGTAGTGCAGCTGTGCATAAAGCCAATTATGATATATAATGATGACCAAAAGGGGAGGAGCCAGATAAAATAATTTAGAGTACCGTTTCTATGCTAACACAACGTTCAATTTAAAAACGTTTTTCACAGGATGAATTCTGAGTTTCTAAGCTTTCAAATGATACCTAATATATGATAACTACTAAAATATGTGATATAATATAAAAGGCGATAAAAAAGATAATATTGTATTTTAGAGCAGGGGTTCTCAAACATTTTGGTGCCAGGGACCCCTTTCAGGGGAAAAAAATTCCAAGGACCCCCCTCATATTTATAACAGTTATTGAGCACAAAGTTAATGTGTGAGCGGCAAATGAAATATTTTTGCACAAAATGAATGGTCTCCACCCAGGGTACTATGCAGGAATTTCTAAACAGCCTACTGAGGTAACGAAAGTGATCTTGCTAGGAATCACTTAGTTAGGATCCCTCACTTAGGAATTTTTGATGTTCTTGATCTACACATGTGCATTTTAAGGTGTTTTAAGGCCCCACAATTGGATAACTATAGATTTAGTAGAAGCATGTCAGTCAGTGGCATACATTTTTTTTTTTTTTTTTTTGTCAAGATGTCATGAAACACAATCACATATTCCAATCAGGAATGGCCTTAAAAGAGAAATGTTTCAATAATTAGGCCTATTCTGTACACAAATAAAGCCCATAAGCCTATAAATACAATGATAATGGCATTATGTTTAATAGGTGCGTGCGTTGTTAATTTGAGCTACTGTAATTAGCTAAAAAAAACATACACTATATGTTAAATTTATGAATCCATAATGTTAATCTCATGGGCACAGTATATGTTTCTATTGACCTGCTTTTTCCTTTGTTAAAGTTGAGCTTGATTAATACTTTGCAAACTGATTGTTTCAGTCGTTTTTTAAAAACTTTTATCTAAAACAGCTGTTTAGTTTATGTTAATTAAGGCCTACATCTTATCTCGCACTTTATGACCGTTGACTGAAACGTCGTGCGGGGAACTTTGAGTTCACTCCGACTCAAACATTTTGACATTGACGAGCTATCGTTGTTAGTCTGCTGAAGCACCTCAGACGAGAAGGTCAGTATCATCGCGATGTGCATCCTTGCAACCTCAGTTGTGGGTACGGCCCTGTCACTATGCACTTTTATTTTGATAATGATCAGACTTCTAATGTCAAATCTGTAGCAGTGCTAGAACTGACTATTGTGCGCGCACGCGAGACGCCGGGGCGCAATTACATGGGAATTTTTCCTCAGCAGTGGAAACAGGAATACTCTTATTTATGGTCATAGATAAGACAAGAGTGCATCATCCGAAACGGTAAAGTGTCCATTTTTTTTATTTGTGTATAGGCTACATTGTAAATGACTACAAAATGTCATGCCTTTTAAAAATACAGAAAAGAACCGGATGCGGGTTCATGCCGTCTCTCTGTCTCCTTTCTGGCGCACGTCCCGCAAAATCAACAGCAGCGAATACTTGACGCAAAGACATAGATTATCTATCTATAGAAAACTTTAAGTGTCTACTTTGTATTGTTTTATGTTAAATGCTTTATATAAGTTACTTAGGAATAAACAGCATGTTTTCAGATGATAAAGAAAACATGACTCATAGCATGAAAAAAAACGTTAGGTTGTAAATTATTTCGCGGACCCCCTGGCTTTAGCTCGCGGACCACCAGGGGTCCGCGGACCCCACTTTGAGAACCACTGTTTTAGAGGATACTATATATATATTACTTTTTAGAGGATAATATTATATAGTATTTTTTTTTTTTTTTGAAAAATGCTACATTATGGGCTCTATCTTGCACCCAGCGCAAATGACTTTATACACAAACGCATGTCTCATTCCTATTTTGCACACGCGCAAAGCGGGCTTTTTCCCTCCACAGACGCACGTCGGTAAACTAGGGAATGAACTTGCGCTCCCTGGGCGGATCGGCGCAAAAAGGAGGCGTGTTTCGGCGTAAACATTCCCTGGTGCTATTTTACACTTCCAAAACACAATTGCGCCACTGACCAGAAAAAAACCCAGTCTAAAGTCAGTGGCACGTTGCGCGTTGTTCATAATGCTATTTTAAGCGTGTATGCTTGGCCATAATGTAGCGGGTGCACAACGCGCATACACTTTGATTCTCTCATCAACACAGATGAAGCAGTTTTTATTTTTGCAAATCATACATTATAACAAGGAAAAATATTAACACATGAGGGAAACCATTGTGGTTTACATGAAGATGAAAAAACCTTATTACCCATTTTTTAATGCTAATTGTAGTACTGAAGGATCAGACCTGTTTGCACAATAGTGGCAAGAAACATACGTATATAATGTTTAACCGACACTGATGTGCGAGGGTTTCTCCCATCCCCATACAACATCACTTCTCTGTCTTTCACTGCCCTGACAAGAACGTCGGTCTCCTCGGCTGTGAACAGCTCCTGGCTCGCGCCTGGTAAACTCGCCATTATAATAACAATCCGTCATGCAACATGCGCACCTGCTCTTAAAGGGTATGTTGGATGAGGCTCTGATTGGTTTATTTCACGTTACGCCCAAACCACACCTATGAATAATGAAGCTACTTCAGACCAACCCCTTTTAGATTTGCGCCCAGTGCAAGAGGCATTTATCCCATTAGGAAAATAGCAACAGCGCCAGGACCCGCCCACAAAGTTATTTGTGCTTTGCACTTTGACACTTGTGTTTCAGATCGTTAAAATAGGGCCCTATATGTTTTCTTATGAACTTTTAGCATGAAAACATCTCAGGTTACGACTGTAACCTATTGTATGTTCCCTGAGAATGGGGAACGAGACATTGTGTCAAAGGACATTTTGGGGGAATGCCTCAGGCGTGACAGGTATCTGAAATCACAATCAAATCACATCAATCACATTGACAGGAGACAGCCCGTGAATCATTAATTTGAATGATTAACATGCGACCTGGAAGTATAAAAGGGCGCCTTGTAAACATGACAATATCCTTTCGTCTGAAGGGACTGTTCGGTAGGCAGGCTCCGAGGCATGGCAAGGAGACGCAGTGTCTCTTTCCCTGTTCTCAGGGAACATAGGTTATAGTCTTAACCTGAGATGTTCCCTTTCAGAAGGGAACTCATAGTGTGTCAAATGATGCTTTCTCCATATGCCACCATGCTAAGTGGAGTGCATGCCCATTGGCAGGGACAACTGTCCGAAGCAGAAAATTCAACTGAAATGCTAGAACCACTCACCCTCAGGTCACACTGGGCACATTCCCTAGGGTCATAGAGCAAGCTATAAGCCTTGCAGGAAAACCTCCATAAACATGGTTAAATGAAAGGCCTACCTGGGCCTGCTCAAAGGCTACGACCTCAATTAGAAGGGATCCTTCTAGGAAATGTGGCTAGGGAACCTGAAGGAACCCCAGCCAATCACTATTCAGGGGAACGTACTCACCCCGAAAAGCCACCAGGACGGCCTGGCCTGGAATCGTTTACATAGACACTTAGTCTGGCCACTTCCTGTCTGTCCGAAGACAGAACCTCTGGACACTTGCCTTTTGGTAAGGCATCCAACCCGAGGGACTGCGAAGCTGGAGACTCAGGAGTCTGTGTGCTCATAGTGATCTTCGGTGAGGGGAGCACATGGTCTGCCTGGCAGGCAAACCAGGCTGTAGGCAGGAAAGAGTTTGCGGGAGGGAACCAGTAGGAGAGAATGAACACTTTAGTCAAGCCCAGCTGATAAGACCAGCTGAAATGATAGCTAGAGCTCACTGGCTTCCTGAACCCAGCACCGCCTGGGAAACTGGAGAGGCCTATTAACTGATAACCACAGTATGTGGGGAACTCACCCTCAGGGAGGCGTAGTGAGGCCTACTACCTGACAGTTCCCATTCAGGGAGGCCTGGAGTGGCCTACTTGATACCTTCAGTATGTGGAGAACTCCCCTTCAGGGAGGCCTGAGAAGTCTACTACTGGGTGATAGTTCCAAGGCGGCCTGCTAAGGCCAGCCAGCTGGGGACTCGCCTATCTTCCTTCCCAGACAGAAAAATGCACAGTTCGTGTGTGTCACCCGGCTTCAGATATCTTGAGCACGAGTCTGCACACTTCTGAAAGAATATCATAATTACCTGCTTTTTAAAGTGGTTACAGACAAAACAGTCCCTCAAGTCCTTCAGTCCCTGAAGATGAAAAGATGTTGTCATGTTTGAAAGGCGCCCTTTTATACTTCCAGGTCGCATGTTAATCATTCACATTAATGATTCACGGGCTGTCGTCGGTCAATGTGATTGACGTGATTTGATAGTGATTTCAGACACCCGTCATGTCTGAAGCGTTCCCCCAAAGTGTCATTCGACGCAGTGCGAGTTCCCTTTCGAAAGGGAACCAAAGTTTCAATTATTAAAGGTGTGTGTGCGTCAATGTTTTGTGACAAAGGTTAGAAATCCTGTTGTGATGCAGATTTTTAGGTGCACTCTTTTCAAAAATTCATCAGTTACTCTTTCTTCATAATTTGTAGCAAAAAAAAAAAAAAAAAAAAATATATATATATATCAAATATATATTTAGGAGTCTTTAGACCTTTCCAATGATATATAGTTTGTCCTAATTAGATTATGATTTAATAGTAGCTAATATAGTGAAGTAAAGTTAGACATCCCCCATACCGCATGGTGACAGTTAAAGTAAAAGATTCTGAGAACTATATCTTCGTAAAAACACACAGAACAAAAAATCTGTCACACTAATGCATGTTCAACAACATGCACAACTCTTCCTCTGTGGATAACAACCAGGATACACAAATATGCTTAAAGCTCCACCTAGTCGTTTTATTATAAAACGTAAAGGAAAAAATTCACAAATGAGACAGCTTGTTAACTTAAAGAGCTTTAACTGAAATACATGCACGACGTCGCACGTTTAATATAATTATTCTGGTAAGAGTGTATTTTTCCAACAAATCTTTCAATGGATAATTTGGTTGTATGCACATTTTAAGTCCAAGCACACAGGCCTACAATAGCAGTATTCATACTCACAGTCTTGTCTGAAATTGAGGGTCCAGGAGGTCCAGGAGGTCCAGGTGGACCTCTAGGGCCTTGATGTCCTTCTCCTTTCTGTCCCTACAGATACAAAAAAGACTAAATGTTTTTTTATTGTTCCATACAAAGACTGCAGTGAAAAAAAATATAATTTTCTTGGTTTTATTTGTTCAGTCATATTTTACCAAAATTTTGGTCAACAATGTTTTTATTTTATTTATTTATTTCTTACCTTGACGAATTACTAATTATGCCTCAATGGCTAAATGTGATAGAGATATTATAAATTTCATTACTTTTTGCTAAACTGTCCACCACAGACCCACATAGTTTACATACTCCTGCTCTTTAAGTTATAATGTGTAATAAGGTTTTTAAAAAATAATTTATACAAATGAATATCAATAAATCAGATATTTGCAAACCACCTTTTGCCCTTTAGGTCCTATAGAACCTGGTAGTCCTTGAGAACCTCGAGGTCCTTCAGAGCCCTGAATAGAAAGACCAAATGAGATTGATGACTTAATAAACACAGTCTAAGTATATATTCAAACACAGCCCAGAAACGTTTGTCCAGAAAACTCACAAGTTTGCTGTTCTCTCCTGGTTTACCCTATAAAACATAAAAACTATGTTTAGACTGTGTTCTTAAACTATCAATTGTATTGTGTTTTTTTACAGACACTGACAGTCGAATATAATTAATATATAAAAGTAATATTTACAAAGCTAATTTGATGTCAAATGTTTACTTTATGTTTATGTTACTCACTGGCTCCCCCTTTGAGCCTTTTGGACCTGATGGGCCCATTGGACCCTGCATCCTCACCACGCTTTTATTCCCTGATTTTATCAATTCTGTTACTGGACCCTGGGGCCCAGGTGGTCCAGGTGGTCCAGGTGGTCCTGGAGGCCCACGATCACCTTTGGAGCCAGGACGTCCAGACCCACTACCCTATACAGAGAGATGGGCATCAGCGTTGTGTCATCAACCTAACTGGAATCTGACAGAAGTAGTAGTAATATATAGTTTGTAATGCTATGTCAGCATTTGAGGCCATCTTCATGACAAAAACTTGAGTTTCAAAGATACAAGAGCTGCATAAACAGTTTAAAAATAAGAACCAAACAAAATGGCAAGAAATATTATACAAGATGTTTTACATTAACAAATGATAAAAATTCAAAAAACATTTTCTGGTAAAATCTCCCTAAACAAGTCCTTAAGTGAGCATGCTACTTGAAGACAGTCCAATACAATATGTTTCATGGAAAGGGGATCTTGCAGAACATACATAGAGTTGGTTCTTTGCCTTTAAGATGAAAAAAAGTCAATCTTGTGTGACCTACAGTATCCGACATCTATGAACACCACGTAATCAAATCTTGTTTTAAGTCTGTTGTGAGATTTCAGAATGGATTTCTGAAATTTGACAGAAGTCAACATCTATTTGCTGCCCTGGTGAAGGGTGTGTGTGTATTACTAAAATAGACCCTGTTTACCTCCATTCTCTTCTCGTCACGATCACCCTGGGGAAGCAAAAAAAGACATAACTGGAAAAAAACTTGTCGTCACACCGGTTCAGGATACAGAGTAACAAAAAAATGTATGATTTGCAAATTGAGTATCCTCACCAAACTAAAAAAAATACATTATACAACAGTCTATTTACTTGCCTTTTTACTTGAACGGTTTCTATTTTAGACTTTAGGGCAGTGTTTCCCAAACTTTTTTTCTGGGGACCCACATTTTAAAGTCGATAAATCTTTGTGACCCAATAAACATAAGGCCCTAAACTATATATTACTAACTATATATAACTAACTATCTGCATTTCTCCCCCTAAAAAATAAAAGTTTTCTGTAAAGTAAAAATTATTATTATAGTTAGTATTATTTAATTCAGCCCTACAAGTAGGCTAAACAGTATTCCTACAATGTCACGATACACACAGGAGATTGACAGCAGATCCAAGTATACCGTGTAAACAATCCAAATACAAAAATAACAAAACACACAGAACAATCAGGAACAAACCAGGACATATCAGACATAACAACGACTCCGTAACAAATACTGACACAGACAGGGAATAAATACACACAGATCTAACAAGACTAACAATGAACAGCTGGGACAATGATTACAGGAAACAGCTAAGTGACAGTGACAGACAGAATGCTGGGAAATGCAGTTCCAGATAGTACATGACACCGTGGGGAAGGAGGACATCTAGTGGACAAACAAGGGAACACAACCAGACAATGTGACATACAAGGCACAACACACCTGTTCCTTATATATATATATATATATATATATATATGTAACGGAGGCCAGCTGGTAGTTGCTGTGTGAGTAAAACCTCACTCCCCGATCTCAATAGGCGCACTGCTGGAGACCGGGGTTCGAGGCCCGCTCGGAGCGGGGCGAGTAGGACCCGGGTGTGAGGGGTTACATATATATATATATACTGTATATATATATATATATATATATATATATATATATATATATATTGTGAATTTTAAGTTTTTAGTAAAAAACGTTTAACAAGAAGTGAATTTGGGGAGTTTGGAAATAGCAACAGGATCAACGACAATACAATAGGATCATAAGCTCAGCGCTCTCCATTTTCAAGATCTACTGCACTGACTTCAGCATCCCTTCAGAGTTCCTCCAGGTCTGCGTGTTCCAGATTGCCTGGATCTGCTGTACGGACTTAAGAGTCTTCTCTTCAGTGATCTTTCACCTGCGTATTCCAGATTATAAGGATCATCTGCACATACGTTAGAACCTGTTCCAGAATAAGAACCTTCTCTGTGCTCCAGAAATGCAACGTTCACAAATACTTCAAGGCTGTGAAACGGATTCCAACTTCTTTCTTCGCACTGCAACGCGGCCAAGCTCAGCAAGTGGAAGACGTCACCGCTCAAATCAGGCGAAAGGTAAATATCACTTTACCAAACTCTCTTTCCAGAGACCTTAGCTTTAGTGTAAATTGTCAGTATATGATTATTTAAAGGTTGTGTAGGTAGTAATTTCATAAAAAACTTTTTTCCAAATTTGTTTAAACTTTCTATATATATCAATGCATAATTAAAATGTAAGTACTCTGATAAAAAGAGTATAAAAATCGAGTGACTCTAGACCGTTTAATCTGCACTAAACGCAGCTCATTATCTCAAACCGGGACGAAACAACGGATTGGCTTAGGCAACTGTCACTCTCTCGCAAACATGGCAACTACCCTTTTTCCACACAGGACCTGCCCACTTGCATGTATCCAGATACCTGTTCACATGCCCTTGTTTGAGCTTGAAGATGCAAAACTCGACGCAGGTCCTTTTTTCCAAGAAGTGCTCCTTCCCCTGCACTTTGACCACCCCGTCCTTGGCCTCTACTTCCTCGGACACTAGTTGCACGGCCTCTTGCACGACCTCCACTGCTTCGCCCTCGACCACGGATCTGTCCTCGAGCTGACGATGCGGTAGACTACTTGTCTCTTGAGTGTCAACATGACAACATGACTTTTGCGTAAACATACACGTCACTTTCAAGTCAAGTGGCGTGTTATTTATCTATACACATTTTGAGCTATCTGCGTGTATGCGTGTAGGGGAGCGCGGGGCACAACCTAACGCGGGGTTAAATGTAACACAGACTTTTTACATAGTTCGTCAGGATCAAGCAGGCTGTCTTTCCGCTCTTTTTCTCTTGCTGCTAGAAGACGGTCTCCCACGAATTTGCGGAAAGTTTTGATTATATTTCGTGAAGATACTGGACAAAGTGTTTTGAGAGTGTTTTGACACTATAAAAGTAATTTTTTTCATCATATATTTTTTTTCGGTTTCTGAGTTGGGTGTATACATTTCCAAATCTAACTTTATATTGCCTTGCTGTCTTGTTTGCTCAAACATAGCACCGTTTTGAAACATGTCAGCAATTCCTATAACGACTGTTAGCTAGGGTTAAAATATGTAATACACAGAGGGGTTAGTTGTAACACAGTGTTTCAACTAAGCCGCCAAGTGTACAATGATAATCAAATGAAAAAGGAGCCACACAACTTTTCAGGTTTGAGTATACATTTAACTTTGTTGGACTTTCACAAACAATGTTGGAATTTAAAATGTTTAAAATTTAGTGTACTATGCATGATAACTTGTTTATTTATTAAAAATATGACATGTTTTTAATGCAATAAACCCTTTAAATTTTTATTCTAAGCTCATTTGTATTATTATTACTGTTATTGTTATTATTATTATTATTAATAATAATTGTACATGCAGCTTCCACACACAAATCTAATTTAATTGCAATTACAATATTTTACAATTTTATTTATTATTATTTATTGCAAAACTGTGCAGCCCTTTTCTATGTCTCTATCCATGATATTGATCCACAATAGAAGGATGATTGCATGAGGGATGGATGTATGGATATCTGTCCATACAGATGCACAAACAATATCAAACTATACAAATAAAATAGTCCTGAATTATGTGTGTTACACACAAGTGTTACAACTAACCCCTCTGTCTGTTACAATTAACCCCGCATATGGGGTAAGTTGTAACATTTGCACTTCTGTCCAACTGTACGAAAATGATAGGTCCTAGAAAAAAACTTTAAGTGTTCATTTGTAGCAGAGATGTGTATGTTGCTTGTGGAATTTTTTTTTATTAATCTAACCTAATTATTTTTTAATGAATTGAGCCAAAACCAAGCGTTAGGTTGTGCCCCGCTCTCCCCTATGTACACACGGTTAAATGTCCAAGTGAAATGAAGCAAAATGTAGATCTACATCTGGGGAGCGATATTTTTTTTTCCTAGGATGGTAAGGGAAGACTCATAAATGCTATTAACCCCACTGTCCTCATCAGAGTCAACAATGCTTTCATCATGGAAACTCTTACATGCCGAACACCATATGTTATGAATCTTACACGAAACCCATCTTCATCACAGTGTAAATGATGGCAATGGAAAAATGTGTATAGCCTAATGCAACTTGTTTTTAGCTTTGCCTTAGGCTATACAGTAGATGACTAGCTCATTATCGAATCAATAAATATATATTTAAAACTTTACCAATAGCTTGAGGCTTGATAGTGAGTACTAAAATACATCTTATTTGTTTATCTTCATAATGATTAAGTTAGATTTTTTGTTACATGTGATTCTGACATGATGTCAGTCACTACATGCACTGCGCTCCTTCCTCTCTGCTTGTCTCAGGTAAATAATGTGTCTTCAGCTCAGCTGTCGGAGTGTGTCAGAGTTCATGTGTTTTGGGGGGCGTGGCTTTGGAAGGAGCCCAGAAGGGAGGGGGTGAATTGAATGGAAATAATGAGCTGTCTTTAAAACAGTCGTGAGAGGTCTACAGACACTCTTTTATACTTTCTTTTTCAGAGTACTTATATTTTAATTAGGCATTGATATATACCAAAAGTTTAAACAAATTTGGAAAAAAGTTTTTTTTAAATAAAATTCCAGCCTACAATACCTTTAAGTGTGAAAGGGTTAATTATTCAAAATAAATGATGCTGGCTTATCTTTTGTTGACTGTGTGCATTCTAATTTGAAATGGCTAATTTCCATTTCCATTCCAAAATGACGTGGCTAATTTCCTGAATAATTTCCAAGTCACATGGAAAATACAGTTGTTTAAATTTAAAGCAAGGGGCGTGGTTATATTCGATGTTGTCGAGCAAATATCTGAACGTGTGATATTATCAGCTAAAATGTGAATTATCATTAATATTCAATAATGGACATAAGAAAGTATATGCAGTGTATTTCAGACACTATAAAAGACACTGAAAGTGTGATTAAGAGTACAGATGATGAAGATGAAGGCCATCAAAATGCAGCTGCATTTTTTGATGAGCACCAACACTCAGCAGCACCCAGCACAAGCGTCGACCTGGACAACCAGGACCAAGCGGCAGCCCCGTCTCAACCCCAACCTCCTCCGCTGCTGCTGCCTAATGACCTCGGGACAGACAGCCCAGTCCAGGTCTGCCTGCAGTCGTACCCAGGTCGTACGTTCAATGGCAGGAAAGTTCTTTCAGCAGTGGTTGGTTTAAAGGAAGGGAATGTCTTGAATATTCAAGTTCCGATTCAGCCTTTTGTTTTCCATGTAGAAAGTTCAGTTTTGGCCCTAATGCTGACAAGGCCTTCACGGTAAGTGGCTATTCTAACTGGAGACATGCAATGGATTCTTCAAAGGGGTTTTCCAGGCAGGCGCATGAAATAGAGCACTTAAAATGCATGGCGCTGTGGAAGGAAAAGGAATCACACAGCACAGCAGGAACAGAGGTGTCAACTCTGGTTAATTCGAGACAGCTAGATAGAAATTGCAAGTATTTTTCTGCAATTGTTGACATAATTGTGTTTCTTGTTTCAAACACGCTGCTTTTAAGGGGTTCTTTGGATGCTTTTGACACAATGGGAGAGGGGGGCAGTGGCCTTTTTTTGTCCATGATGGATTATACTTTCTGAAAAGACACTGAACTTGCTGAAGTGTATCGCATTATACCTGCCAATGCCAGATACACATCACATGACATTCAAAATGAAATTATTGGGCTTAGTAGTGAACTTTTAACTGAGGAAAATGTTAAAGACATAGGAAATTCATGGTACACTTTAAAGGTAGATGGGACCCAAGATATCAAATCCGTGAAAACATATCCATCGTCATTCGCTACCTGAACGAAAAAAAAAATTAAGTTCACGAGCGGCTGTTGTGTGTGGCAACAACTAAAAACTTTGATGCATTGTCGTTAACTAATGTTGTCTTAACAGAGATAACACATGCTGGTCTGAGCACAGAAAAAATTCTAAGTCAGTAATGACCCTAAAACTTGTGCATAGTGTGTGTGAATGCATTAAGAATCTCCGGTGTGACAGTGAGCTTGAAGCATTGTGGGCACAATGCAATGACGAGCAACAAGCGAATTCTTCCAAACGGCGAAGATACGCAACCAAGGGTCTAGAGCAGTTTGTAGTGGAAAGTTCCTGTGGACAGAGTGATGAAGCAGATGAAACAGAATGCAAAAGACTTTTCTTCAGTACTTTGGATACTGTCATTGGAGAAAGGTCAGCACGGTTCAGTAAGCGTAACAGCCAATTAGTTAAAGCCCTGTGTGCTCTCGACCCTGGAAGCAATGACTTTCTAGACAGTTCAATGGTTAAACCACTCTTGGACCTAACCAAAACAGAAATTTTGGATGCTGAATTCACTGTCGCTCGACAGTTTATACGGACCGAAACTGCTCTTTCTAACAGGGAGAAATGGACCACTCTGGATGTACTGGAAACGTTTTCTGGGGCTCTAGCTCAATGCCAACGGTTTGCATTGCGCTCAGACATGGAATAACTTTTGGGGCATCTATTGCCACCTGTGAAAACTCTTTTTCCACCCTCACTAATGTGTTCACTCAGCACAGACGGAGCATGTCACATCAGAGGAAAGCACAATTTATCCAATTGGCATTTGAACGTGATCTAACTGCAAAATTCAAAGAGAATGGCATGAAAGGTTACTAAGGAGATTCAGTGCCAAATCAAGGAGAATGCAGCTCTTCTAAATGGGTATAGGACATGATCTATCATCATTACACTGTTTAAACTTTTCTAGTCTCTAGTTACCTGTGCAGTTGCATATGGAGTGTTTTAGGGAGCGCTGTATTTACAAATCTGTCATTCCAAAGTGAGATCTCAGTGTGCATTATTCATTGATGGTAAAATAAAGTTAAGCCCCCTTAACAATTTCACATGCCCCCTCGGTCATTTCATCCTGCAGCCGGGCCTGGTATTGATGGACTATGAAGCCTTATTTGTGTATATCACATCAGGGAGCTTGTGTTTTACTTTCAAATTGGTGATCGCGAATACTCTGTGTATAGGGAGCAGCGGTGCTGAGCGTGCATTTTACAAGATAAGACATTTATCAGAGGTTTAGTCTATGTTGCGCAACGAATCCTCCACCATCGTCATGCGAACAGTGAATTGTGATTCGTGCTGCACTGATTGCAACGGCAACTCGTACTGGATGAGCAGAGCAGACTTTTATATTTGTTTATAATGGTATTTACTTTTTATATAAACAGCAAAACAATAGTTTAGGCGAATGTGAGTGTAGCGGTGGAATATTCTATTGTAATTTCACCTTTACGCTCAGTCATGGCGATATTGCGAGACAGTTGTTCACTCAACGGGAAATCTCGTCATATTTTAGTCTCACGAGATCTCATCACACCCCTATAAAGTACTAGAGGGGTTTGCCAGAACACTGTATTTTTGTCAGATAAATACATTAAGTAATATACAAAAATACCTACTAAATTATGTTTTACATCCATTATGTCCTCTATTCCACTTCCGTTGTCTCCAGAACCCTACAAATAATGAAAAACGGACATTACCACCATTTTACCACAAACATTACCAGATAGTTGGTAAGCCTTAAAGATTTCCATACATTGTCAGTGCCAAATAAGTCAGTCCTGTCTGTGAACTATACGAATCACCTCACGAATCGACTATTGTTATTCACTTTATGTTGGAACTAACCAATTATCCATCGGGTGCCTTCAACTAGTACAAAATGCTGCTGCCAGACTGTTGACGGGTAATCGTAAGTTCGATCATAACACTCCGATCTTAAAGGGATGGTTCACTTTGAAATTAATTTTTGAAATGTTTTAGCTTACCTCAAGGGCATCCAAGATGTAGGTGTCTTTGTTTCCACAGCATTTTCAATTTTGACATTTTTTGGTCAAACCGTTGTCAGTCATATAATGCAGCCCACCTCAAAGAGCATCCACAGAGAAGTCAAAATTAAACATGATTTAATGACTTGTAAATGTAAGTACACGTTGATGGCCTAAGACACGAAACGAGCGGTTTGTGTGAGAAAACGAACAGTATTTATATAGTTTTTACCTCTTGTCAGTTGGACATCTGATTCAGATCAGTTCAACGGCTGTTAACAAGAGGTAAAAACTATATAAATACCGTTCGTTGTCTCACACAAACTGCTCGTTTCGTGTCTTAGGCCATCAATGTGTACTTACACAAGTCATTAAATCATGTTTAATTTTCACTTCTCTGTGCATGCTCATTGAGGTGGGCTCCATAGACCTGCATTTGACCAAAAAATGTCAAAATTGAAAATGCTGTGGAAACAAAGACACCTACATCCTGGATGCCCTTGAGGTAAGCTAAAACATATCAAAAATTTATTTCAAAGTGAACTATCCCATTAACTTCCCTAAACTGGATACCAGTCAAACAAAGAATTGAGTTTAAAATTTTTGTTTTTTGTTTTTAAATCATTACATGGCCTAGCACCAGGGTAATAATCTGACTTAATACACTTCCATAACCCACCTAGATCACTTATGTCTAGTAACCTTGAATTGCTCGGAGTGCGTAGATCAACACTGAAACATCGAGGTGACCGAGCCTTTGCAGTTGCAGGCCCCAAATTATAGAATAGCCTACCACTATCAATTAGAACAGTCACGTCATTTGCCACCTTTAAATCTAAGATCAAAAAAACACTTTTTTAATGTGGATCCTTAATGTACTCTCTTATACCTTCAATTATATTAATTGTTCTATTCTTTTTCTATGTTTGTAATTGTATCTATTGCTCGTGCTATTTTATTATGTTGTATTATCTTCGATCTGATTACTCTGTCCTGTTCAGCACTTTGGTCAACCATGGGTTGTTTTTAAATGTGCTTTACAAAGAAAGAAAGAAAGAAAGAAAGAAAGAAAGAAAGAAAGAAAGAAAGAAAGAAAGAAACTATAAGCAATAAATTCCTTGCAAAAAATAAAATAAACATAAAAACTTGAAAAAGATGTAAGAATGACAGTCTCAACCCAGATAGCAAACTGACATTGAATCAACGTGGAAATATGACATCGAAACAACGTTGATCTGACATTGTTTTGCTCATCGAATTAACGTTGAACCAACGTCAGACGCGTCATTCTTTCAAAACTAACGGAAAATCAACTTGAAATCAACGCGATGTTTCAACGTTATGAAAGCAAACCAATTTTCGATTTTCATTTAGCTTTGAAGAATGCCGCGTCTGACGTTGGTTCAACGTTAATTCGATGAGCAAAATCAACGTTGTTTCAATGTCATGAGAGACGTCGTTTCCACGTTGATTCAATGTCAGTTTGCTATCTGGGAAGTTTATATGCAGCTTACATCATTGTAATCGTCATCGGCATCATCACATTGACGCTCTGCAGCCCGTGAGTTTCCAACCACTCTTAACTCTGAGATCATGCCCTAAACATAAAAAAAGACAGGTAACATCAACATCAGCCAACATATCAGTTGTGATTGTGAATCTAAGTGTATTTCTGGAAGGATGGAAAAAATTAGCTATTACGTCTCGATTACATATGGTAACCCTCGTTCCCTAAGGGAGGGAACGGAGACGTAGGTCATGACTGACCAATAGGAATTTCGCTAGAGAGCCAATTTACTTTGAGTGAATCTAAAACAAGCCAATGCACATTGGCATGCAAACATTTACATCAGCTGCGCAGCCTCGTCAGCGCGGGTATATAATGAGCAGCTGTTGTGATTGCACTTCAGTTCTGAGGAGCCAAACATGGTAAGCTGGCCCCCCGGTGGGTGGCAGTAGATGTGGCAACTGGACCTATCTCTCCATTCCCTCCCTCGTTGAACGAGGGTTAACATATGTAACCGAGACGTTCCCTATCAGTCAGTCACTACAATGTAGGTCATGACTGACCAATAGGAATCCCTACCAAAGCGCCACAGTCGCTGCACCCCATCCAGCGCCCTATGCAAGCCTCTGCACCTTCTTGCCTGGAAGGACGATAGGAGGAGGGCTTACACGTGGAGTGTCTGACACTGCTGTTCCTCTATAACCCATACAGTGAGACTTTGGATAACACTGGGAAAGCGTGACCTTTTATGTGGGAGGGGAACGTTGCGGAACCCACTTTCTTCAAAGAGTTAAGTGGAAATACATATGGACTAACCCGAAGGCTGTACTGCATATGAAATAATGGGTGACTTAGACCAAGGGAAAGACACAGGCTTCCGTCTTAGGAGCTACTGTGGAAAATATACACATATGGGTTCCCCGAAGGGTGGACCCAGCCCGGGTCCGGCTCTCAGGGATTTAGCGGACAGGGGCCTGGCTCCGGACGCTCCGCCATGTCGCCCATCCCGCAGCTCTACAGATATCTCTTAGCAAGGCACTACGAGCCAGTGCCAAAGAGGATGCAACGCCTCTCGTAGAGTGTGCATGCAACCTGAGCGGGCAGGGCACGCCTTGAGCTTGGTAAACCAAGGCGATGGCATCCACTATCCAATGGGCCATCCTCTGCTTGGAGACAACTTTTTCCTTCTGCTGGCCTCCGTAACAGACAAAGAGCTGGTCTGAGGTCCTGATGCTTTGAGTTCTGTCCACGTACATATGCAGAGCACGAACGGGACAGAGCAGAGCCCGGGCTGGGTCTGCCTCCTCTAAGGGCAGCGCTCTCAGGTTCACTACCTGATCTCTGAAGGGAGTGGTAGGAACCTTGGGCACATAGCCACGCCGGGGTCTAAATCCCACATGGTTGTCACCAAGCCCAAACTCTAGGCACTGATCTCTGAAGGGAGTGGTAGGAACCTTGGGCACATAGCCAAGCCGGGGTCTCAATCCCACATGGTTGTCACCTGGCCCGAACACTAGGCACGATTCATCGACTGAAAATGTGTGCAGGTCTCCTACCCTCTTGACAGAGGCCAATGCAACCAGTAGCAAAGTCTTCATGGAAAGAAGCTTTAAGCCTACTGATTGCAGAGGCTCAAAGGGGACATCCTGAAGTGCTCGGAGCACCAGGGAAAGATCCCAAGAGGGTTAGGAGGGGGGTCAAGAAGGAATTAATCATCTCGTCCCCCTAAGATACCTGACGACCAGGTCGTGCTTTCCAACTGTTTTGCCATCTATGTGGTCGTGATAAGCTGAAATAGAAGCAGCATGAACTTTGAGGGTGGAGGGAGTCTTCGCTCCAACCCTTGCTGCAAGAAGGAAAGCACAGACCCCATCAAACATCTTCGGGGGTCTTCTCGGCGAGAAGAACACCACTCGACGAACAAGTTCCACTTCAGGAAGACGTAGACACGTCTCGTGGACGGCGCCCGTGCTGAAGTGATGGTGTTAAGTACCTCTGGGGTTAAGTCACCTAGAACCTCCGCATCCTGTCCAGGGACCAGACATGGAGTTTCCAGAGGTCTGGACATGGGTGGCATAGGGTGCCCTGTCTCTGAGTCAGAAGATCCTTCCTCAGAGGAATGGGCCAGGAAGGGACTGTCACAAGGAGCATGAGTTCTGGGAATCAGGTCCAAGTGGGCCAGTAGGGAGCAACCAGAACGACCTGCTCCTTGTCCTCCCTGACTTTTCACAGTGTTTGCACAAGTAGGCTCACTGGCGTAACGCATATTTGCGAGGGCCCCAGGGTCAGCTGTGTGCCAGTACACCCGTGCAGAGGGTTCCCTCAGTCAGGGAGTAAAATAGCTGGCAGTGGGAGGTCTCTGAGGAGGCAAACCGGTCTACCTGAGCCTCCCCGAACTCTCTCCAGATCAGCTGAACCACCTGGGGGTGCAGTCGCCATTCTCCCGGAAGCACAGCTCGTGATTGCTCATCGGCCACACAGTTGAGCACACCATGGATATACATGGCTCAAAGCGATCTCAGATGCTTCTGACTCCAGAGGAGGAGATGGCGGGCAAGTTGGGACATGCGACGGGAGCGTAGACCACCTTGCCAGTTGATGTATGCAATGCAGTGTTGTCTGTGCGGACCAGCACATCCCTGCCCTGCAGCGGCCTTTTCATGCGGCGCAGAGCGAGATATACTGGCAGCAACTCGAGGCAATTGATGTGCCAATGCAGATGAGGGCCCGTCCACACCCCTGATACTGCATGCCCGTTGGACGTAGCTCCCCAGCTGGTGGCATAGGCATCTGTGAACACCACAGCATGCCTGGATACCTGTTCCAAGGGGACTCCTGTCCGAAGGAACGAGGGATCTGACCACGGGCTGAAGGTCACACGGCAGGCCGCAACCCTCGCAAGAGGATTGGAATGGGGCGCCAGCACAGGGACTCCACCCCTTTGCAGGAACTCGACCAACTCTCGACCGCAGCTCCAAGATGGTTATCTTCCCACAATGGGTGCATGACTCATCCACGAACGCTGATTGTGCGTGTTCAAGGCCCAGACACATAACACAGCATTCGAGACCATCCTGCGATCCCAGGTAACGACCGCATCCAGAAACACACAGATAGAACGTCATCTTTAAAAAGATGCGAACTATCCATGTAGACTACTCTCACTGGTACTGAGGCACGTATTGGAACTGTTGCAACGAATACAAACTGGAATGTGCACCTGTGTGTGTGCCGACTCTCTCTCACTGCACTTTTACCAGCTGTTAGAACAGCTTTTGTTTTTGCTCTGAAGAGAGAGAGAAAGTTAAACTGCTCGCGCTGCCTGTGCTGTCACGCCCGCACGATGAGAGAGCTCCAAATGGTCTTGTTTTTAAGAAAACACAGAGGCATCGAAGTTTAGGCTCCGAAGCAAAAAGCTGAAGTGCAATCACAGCAGCTGCTCATTATATACCTGCACTGACGAGGCCGCGCAGCTGATGCAAATGATTGCACGCCAATGTGGCTTGTTTTAGATTCACTCGAAATTGGCTCTCTAGTGAGATTCCTATTGGTCAGTCATGATCTATGGTGTAGTTACTGACCGATAGGGAACATATGTTGACTAAAGAGTAGCTACATCATATTTGTCTGGGACGATTAATAATTTAACAGAAAGACAAACAGACAGAGACAGATGGAAAGGATACAAAGGATCCAGGACAACATTCCTTGTTGTCCACACCCCTGAGAATGACCCTTTGTGTATTTGAGATAAATTACAAATATAGCACAGTCAATGATACACAGGACATACTTGATATTTGTCTGGGTCATCAGTTCCGCTTTGTCCAACAAAGATCCTGGAGTTTGTCTCCAGCTCCAAGTCATCAGGAGAGCGCTCAAACTTTACCACCTTGGGCTCAGTATCACAATCCTCATAGAAAGACACTTGGTCCATATTAACTGCCAGAGAGAAGCGACTCCACACTTGAGGCTGGTGTGCCACCTCAAAGCTGGCCACCTCTTGAGATCTATCTGAATCAGGCTCTGTGTAATAAAAAATAACTTTCCTTTTACCATCCTCCACAGCTGAGAGCTTGACCCCCACGTACATGATATTTTGATTGGAGTCTGTGATGGAGAAGAGGACCCCAGCATCATCAGAGGTGGGCTTCAAGTGGAACACAAGAGAGAAGTCTCGGTAGAAATGAGTGGGAAAGTGGGCAAGTGCCATCTGCCCCGTTTTGGTATCCTTTGTAAAGAGGTAAGCGATTTGTCTATTTGGACCTGGAGCCTGGGTGATGTCTTCAGGCGGAGGGCTTCCAATAAGTTGCAGCAGGGAGACTCCACTCTCTTCTATGGTACAAAAAATATTGTGAATTAGTACAGTGACTTTTAATACAGTAAAACGAAACCCAGCTTCTGAATGCATTTTAAATTAATGTGATGTTCGGTGATGGTCAGTAATTGCTATTAAAATATTAAAAATAGATGCCTAATGTAAAATGTCAATTCAAATGTCAAAATGTCAATAAGATCAAATGTCTAATTTTAATTTAATAACTGAAATGTACTATTTAAATATTCAAAATAGATGCCTCCATCTACAGTCAGTTCCTAATGGTGCATATATAACATTTTAGAAAAAGAGCCATTTAATCTTTGGAATACATGTGAAGTGAAATTGCACCTTTCCAGAAAGTCAACCAGTGCAATGTCATGAATCAACAAGCTGCATAATCTCGGGACTAAAAAAATTGTTACTGGTATTGTCATGTCTACAGAACCTAGGGGAAAACAGTGAGACGAAGTGGAATAATACTTCACAATGTACATTACTGTTGGCCCTGAGAGAATTAGACTAAACATGGAGTTCAGATTATGTGAAATTTTTGATTTGTCAGGGCTCATGATTGTGAGATGACATACATTGTTATACACAAAAATGTTGCTTTATCTGCAAAAAACAAAAACAAAAAACAAAAATAAAATAAAAACACTCTTTGTACCTATTTTTGTCCTGTTTCCAGTCCAAATATATATTACAAAAATCTGAAATCTAGATCCATTTACTAGACAATTAAATAAATGGCATTAGATATTATGCCTTGTTTTCTAAGGGAAAAGAGTTTTTGATAAAAAAAAACCAAAAAACAAATCTTTTAAGCATTTTTTGCAGTGTAATGAAAAATCGACAGTCACATTTGAGCTGAGCCTATAGCTAAAAGTTCTGACCGTGGGAACGGCATGTCCAAATCTAGGTTCATGTTTTAACGGCAATGGAAGCTTAGTGACTTTTCCCCATACACCATGATTCTCATTAGAAACGGCTGTCCAGTCGCTCACACACTTAGCCAACATTCATTTCATTGCTGAGTTGTGCTGTCACCATGTTTCAAAACACTTACACAGGGGATTTTCTGTGAGTATAGTTTGCCCATTTTTTAAGTCCAGATGTGTCCACTCACTCCTGCAT